TATACACGTTACCCTGTCAGTAAGTTATACATGTTACTCTGTCAGTAAGTTATACACGTTACACTGTCAGTACGTTATACACGTTACACTGTCAGTAATTTATACACGTTAGTCTGTCAGTAAGTTACACACGTTACCCTGTCAGTAAGTTATACACGTTACACTGTCAGTACGTTATACACGTTACACTGTCAGTAAGTTATACACGCTACCCTGTCAGTAAGTTATACACGTTAGTCTGTCAGTAAGTTATACGCGCTACCCTGTCAGTAAGGTATACGCGTTACCCTGTCAGTGTGTTATACACGTTATCCTGTCAGTAAGTTCTACACGTTACACTGTCAGTAAGTTATACACATTAGTCTGTCAGTAGCTTATACACGTTACACTGTCAGTACGTTATACACGCTACCCTGTCAGTTATACACGCTACCCTGTCAGTAACTTATACACGTTACCCTGTCAGTAAGTTATACACGTTAGTCTGTCAGTAAGTTATACACGTTACCCTGTCAGTAAGTTATACACGTTACACTGTCAGTAAGTTATACACGCTACCCTGTCAGTAACTTATACACGTTACCCTGTCAGTAACTTATACACGTTACCCTGTCAGTAAGTTATACACGTTACACTGTCAGTAAGTTATACACGTTAGTCTGTCAGTAAGTTATACACGTTACCCTGTCAGTAAGTTATACACGTTACACTGTCAGTAAGTTATACACGCTACCCTGTCAGTAAGTAAGTTATACACGTTAGTCTGTCAGTAAGTTATATACGTTAGTCTGTCAGTAAGTTATACGCGCTACCCTGTCAGTAAGGTATACGCGTTACCCTGTCAGTGTGTTATACACGTTATCCTGTCAGTACGTTATACACGTTAGTCTGTCAGCAAGTTCTACACATTACCCCCTCAGTAAGTTATACACGTTACACTGTCAGTAAGTTATACGCGCTACCCTGTCAGTAAGGTATACACGTTACCCTGTCAGTGTGTTATACACGTTATCCTGTCAGTAAGTTATACACGTTAGTCTGTCAGCAAGTTCTACACATTACCCCCTCAGTAAGTTATACACGTTACACTGTCAGTACGTTATACACGCTACCCTGTCAGTAACTTATACACGTTACCCTGTCAGTAAGTTATACACGTTAGTCTGTCAGTAAGTTATACACGCTACCCTGTCAGTAAGTTATACACGTTACCCTGTCAGTAAGTTATACACGTTACACTGTCAGTAAGTTATACACGCTACCCTGTCAGTAACTTATACACGTTACCCTGTCAGTAAGTTATACACGTTACCCTGTCAGTAAGTTATACACGTTACACTGTCAGTAAGTTATACACGTTAGTCTGTCAGTAAGTTATACACGTTACCCTGTCAGTAAGTTATACACGTTACCCTGTCAGTAAGTTATACATGTTACCCTGTCAGTAATGTATACACGCTACCCTGTCAGTAAGTTATACACGTTAGTCTGTCAGTAAGTTATATACGTTAGTCTGTCAGTAAGTTATACGCGCTACCCTGTCAGTAAGTTATACGCGCTACCCTGTCAGTAAGGTATACACGTTACCCTGTCAGTGTGTTATACACGTTATCCTGTCAGTAAGTTATACACGTTAGTCTGTCAGTAAGTTATACACGTTACCCTGTCAGTAAGTTATACACGTTACCCTGTCAGTACGTTATACACGTTACACTGTCAGTAAGTTATACACGCTACCCTGTCAGTAACTTATATACGTTACCCTGTCAGTAACTTATACACGTTACCCTGTCAGTAAGTTATACACGTTACACTGTCAGTAAGTTATACACGTTAGTCTGTCAGTAAGTTATACACGTTACCCTGTCAGTAAGTTATACATGTTACCCTGTCAGTAATGTATACACGCTACCCTGTCAGTAAGTTATACACATTAGTCTGTCAGTAAGTTATACGCGCTACCCTGTCAGTAAGGTATACACGCTACCCTGTCAGTAAGTTATACACGTTAGTCTGTCAGTAAGTTATACGCGCTACCCTGTCAGTAAGGTATACACGTTACCCTGTCAGTGTGTTATACACGTTATCCTGTCAGTAAGTTATACACGTTACACTGTCAGTAAGTTATACACATTAGTCTGTCAGTAGGTTATACACGTTACACTGTCAGTACGTTATACACGCTACCCTGTCAGTTATACACGCTACCCTGTCAGTAACTTATACACGTTACCCTGTCAGTAAGTTATACACGTTAGTCTGTCAGTAAGTTCTACACATTACCCTCTCAGTAAGTTATACACGTTACCCTGTCAGTAAGTTATACACGTTACACTGTCAGTAAGTTATACACGCTACCCTGTCAGTAACTTATACACGTTACCCTGTCAGTAACTTATACACGTTACCCTGTCAGTAAGTTATACACGTTACACTGTCAGTAAGTTATACACGTTAGTCTGTCAGTAAGTTATACACGTTACCCTGTCAGTAAGTTATACACGTTACACTGTCAGTAAGTTATACACGCTACCCTGTCAGTAAGTTATACACGTTAGTCTGTCAGTAAGTTATATACGTTAGTCTGTCAGTAAGTTATACGCGCTACCCTGTCAGTAAGGTATACGCGTTACCCTGTCAGTGTGTTATACACGTTATCCTGTCAGTAAGTTATACACGTTAGTCTGTCAGCAAGTTCTACACATTACCCCCTCAGTAAGTTATACACGTTACACTGTCAGTAAGTTATACGCGCTACCCTGTCAGTAAGGTATACACGTTACCCTGTCAGTGTGTTATACACGTTATCCTGTCAGTAAGTTATACACGTTAGTCTGTCAGCAAGTTCTACACATTACCCCCTCAGTAAGTTATACACGTTACACTGTCAGTACGTTATACACGCTACCCTGTCAGTTATACACGCTACCCTGTCAGTAACTTATACACGTTACCCTGTCAGTAAGTTATACACGTTAGTCTGTCAGTAAGTTCTACACATTACCCTCTCAGTAAGTTATACACGTTACCCTGTCAGTAAGTTATACACGTTACACTGTCAGTAAGTTATACACGTTACACTGTCAGTAAGTTATACACGTTACCCTGTCAGTAAGTTATACACGTTACCCTGTCAGTAAGTTATACACGTTACCCTGTCAGTAAGTTATACACGTTACACTGTCAGTAAGTTATACACGTTAGTCTGTCAGTAAGTTATACACGTTACCCTGTCAGTAAGTTATACACGTTACACTGTCAGTAAGGTATACACGTTAGTCTGTCAGTAAGTTATACACGTTACCCTGTCAGTAAGTTATACACGTTACACTGTCAGTAAGTTATACACGTTTGTCTGTCAGTAAGTTATACACGTTACCCTGTCAGTAAGTTATACATGTTACCCTGTCAGTAATGTATACACGCTACCCTGTCAGTAAGTTATACACGTTAGTCTGTCAGTAAGTTATATACGTTAGTCTGTCAGTAAGTTATACGCGCTACCCTGTCAGTAAGGTATACGCGTTACCCTGTCAGTGTGTTATACACGTTATCCTGTCAGTAAGTTATACACGTTAGTCTGTCAGCAAGTTCTACACATTACCCCCTCAGTAAGTTATACACGTTACACTGTCAGTAAGTTATACGCGCTACCCTGTCAGTAAGGTATACACGTTACCCTGTCAGTGTGTTATACACGTTATCCTTTCAATAAGTTATACACGTTAGTCTGTCAGCAAGTTATACACGTTACCCTGTCAGTACATTATACACGTTACCCTGTCAGTACGTTATACACGTTACACTGTCAGTAAGTTATACACGTTACCCTGTCAGTAAGTTATACATGTTACCCTGTCAGTAATGTATACACGCTACCCTGTCAGTAAGTTATACACGTTAGTCTGTCAGTAAGTTATATACGTTAGTCTGTCAGTAAGTTATACGCGCTACCCTGTCAGTAAGTTATACATGTTACCCTGTCAGTAATGTATACACGCTACCCTGTCAGTAAGTTATACACGTTAGTCTGTCAGTAAGTTATACGCGCTACCCTGTCAGTAAGGTATACACGCTACCTTGTCAGTAAGGTATACACGCTACCCTGTCAGTAAGTTATACACGTTAGTCTGTCAGTAAGTTATACACGCTACCCTGTCAGTAAGTTATACACGTTAGTCTGTCAGTAAGTTATACGCGCTACCCTGTCAGTAAGGTATACACGTTACCCTGTCAGTAAGTTATACACGCTACCCTGTCAGTAAGGTATACACGCTACCCTGTCAGTAAGTTATACACGTTAGTCTGTCAGTAAGTTATACACGTTAGTCTGTCAGTAAGTTATACGCGTTATCCTGTCAGTAAGTTATACACGTTAGTCTGTCAGTAAGTTCTACACATTACCCTCTCAGTAACTTATACACGTTACCCACGTTACCCTGTCAGTAAGTTAAACATGAAACATAAACGAAAACATCACGGCCCATGAACTATATAATTGATTATATTTCTCCCCTGTACTCTGAAATCAATGAATTGTTAGAAATTGTATATACACACAAGCTGTAGCCCAAATAGAAAGTCATTAGAAAGTTTCCGGACTGGAGTGCATCGTGATGAATGTTCGTATAAATATCGTTTCGAGCATCAACCTTGATATCTAAAAGTACTGTCTGCTTAAGATACTAGGTTTTTTCTGTATCGCGAATAAACATAACACAGATTTTATAAATTTCATGTTTTCTCCCAATGCCCTTTAGTACATTTTGCCTGTATGCGTTCTATCTTATATGTAGGTGTGTACAGCGTCTAACCCATCATTAATGAAACAGGGTATTAGACTTATCAGGTTTCCGTCATACAACACAGCTAGAATTCTTCACAAATACATCCCACGGCCGTTTGATTTAAGCCCAGTTCCCACACACGTAAACGGAAAAGAAACAGCTCCGCATTAAACCTGGATCACGACTCGCGACGCCATACCGTATATGAAAAACATGGCATCCGTGTTGTTTGTGTGGCCATTTCTAATACTACCGTGTCTCAGATGCCAGTATTTGGTTGATAATTCAAATTTAGAGTGGAGTTTGGGGAGTCAAAAATGTCAAAACAGCTGGACCTGTGCTGATAACGCGAGCGACGTGACAAATCTGTGCGCGTGTGATGACGCGTGTAATATCTACGACGACTGTTGCTTGGATGGTAACAGTGATATCGGTTTTCAACATAACTATTTATCATGTAAATATGTGCCGGAAATTAAAGAAAAGGCTTACTTATACATCATAGAAAATTGTCCTGATGTTAACAATAACGACCAGTTGAAGATGTTGTGTGAAAATGGAACATTTAGTGACGACATCACGATTCGAACCCCGGTCTCTGGTGTTAAAACCGGGTTCCTATATCGGAACATGTACTGCGCTATGTGTCACCGTGAAGATTATACGACATGGAGATCGGGAATCGACTGTAATTGGAAAGTAGACAATTATGGAAGAAATTATTCTTTTGTTGATCTCCGAAACGACTCCAACTGTAGAATTATTTTCGAACCGCCGCCATCTTTTGTAGATTTGGAACCTAGAGAATGCCTCCCTGTCATTGACAAGTGTGAAGGGAAGTCTAACGACAGATGCCGAACAGAAAGCAGGGCTCTTGTGTTTGGTAATGCAATATATAAAAATATATATTGTGCGGGATGTAATGGTGAAGTTCTGGCGAACCTGTCTTGTGATCCTTTTAGTGTAAAAATCTTCCCGAAAGCCCCTAACAAGCGGAAGCCCATAAATTACAGTTACCGATTGCTGGTCGACCTGCATGCATTGACAAGTATTAGTGTGTCTTCAGCCCGAAGAGGTGCCGTCAGAGAGAACCGGCATGACATATCGAGCCTTTGTGTCGAACCCTCGGTATTTGACCCTTTGGCTGAAATATGCCGGCAAGTACTTTGCGTTTCACCATTTATATATAAAGACAAAAAGTGCAAGCTAACATCGACATCATATGTAATTAACCCAAAACCAGCAGCGGATGACGAAGTCCACCTTACCTGTCCATTTTTACGTCTCAACCAAAGTGAATACAAAATCATCAACACTGATCAAGTGTTTATTTTATCATCTGGGTCTATTTACAGTAAGAACGAGTCTTACATAGGCGATGGGTTCGTGTTGGTATGTGTCCAGGAACCAGCGAATGAAACCGGTGGGCCGGACACCGTCGGTGTAACATTGCTCTTTACAAGTACGGAGAGCATTCTATCGGTTGTGTGTCAGTGTTTATCAATCTTGGCCCTGTGTCTCGGATTGATAATATACGCCTGCTTTCCCAAATTGCAAAATATCCCTGGTAAGAACTTGATCTGTTTGATGGCTAGTCTTCTCGCCGCACAGATGCTCTTCATCTCGGCTCCAATAGCAATTGATATTGTCCATCTGTGTACTCTCCTTGCAATAGTAATGCATTATACATACCTAGCCGCATTTTTTTGGATGAACATTATGGCAGTAGATATATTCTTAACATTTTCAAGGAGTTTTGCGAAGTCAAGAACTGATAATTTGAATCATTTCGTTTCGTATTCTTTATATTGCTGGCTGACACCTGCTGTTATCGTTTGTGTTGCAATGATATTTGATTTCACGCCTATCGAAACAGACTCTAAACCTAAGTATGGCGTGGTCGTCTGCTGGATTTCCAACAGTTACGCATTGTTGTATTTTTTCTTAGTCCCCTTACTTGTCCTGGTCTCCGTGAACATGGTGTTGTTCCTTTTCACGGCCAGGGCCATATATGTATCCGACAAAAGTACATCAAGTATTCTCAAAAAGCAACAAACATGTAAGTTACTCATATATCTGAAGTTGTCGACTGTCATGGGTTTCACGTGGGCTTTCGCATGTGTCGCCACTTTCACAAATTTGCCGCCATTTTGGTATTTGTTTATAATTTTCAATGCTTTACAGGGCGTTCTCATTTTTCTGTCCTTCGTATGTTCCAAAAAAGTTATTCGTCTTCTGAAATTGGCTTGGCCTGTCTGTTGTCTTCGGTTCTGTCCGGCGAAATATAACACAAGTACACAGAGCTCGAGTGACACATCGTCCAGGTCAAACAAAACCTTGATGTCCGTCATCTCATTTAAGTCTAACAATAGTGAGAACGGTGAGACTGCCTGTTAGAATAGCAACGCTGTCTGTCCCACACATACATATGGGCATTATTTTCTTATAAAACTTCACGTTTTATAAGTTGATTAGTGGTGGCTAACCTGGATCAGTATCTTGAGATACAAGATAATGAAAATTAAATAATGTTTCTTCGGTAAGTGTTGGCGATTACGCGGCATTATAAAATGTAGATAAGACTTGGTTCACATGACACAATGGCAAAAAAGCGAAAAGTTAGTATAACATTGGGGATTTCTTTCAATGGCAGCATGGTAGCCGAGTTAGTGTGAACGTTAGTGGTTATCATCACCAAGCAGGTCTATCTGTTTTGAGTTAGTGTGAACGTTACTGGTAATCATCACCAAGCAGGTCTATCTGTTCTGAGTAAGGATGAACATTAGTGGTTATCATCACCAAGCAGGTCTATCTGTTCTGAGTTAGGGTGAACAATCACAAAGCAACGCTCACCGACCTGAGTTAGGGTGAAAATATATTTTATCATCACCAAACAAAGCTATCTGTTTTGAGTTAGAATGAACATTAGCGTTTATCATCATCAAGCAGGATTACTTGTTTCACTATATATGTTGCTGTTGAAGTTGTCAGAATTTAAAAGATGAATAAATATTTGAAATGACATTTCAGTTTGGAACTATTTACAAATAACTGACGTGTAATGCAAGATCCCTGGACACCCAATAGTATCACCTGTTACAGGGTACGTTTCCTTGCTTACAAAAGGACTATTTGTTATGTATACTACTGTAATAGTGTTTTATTGTATATCTTTAAGTGATGTAAGTCTGTGGAATTTGTCATGTTTATCTTGTTATTTATAGTCATATAAACAATAAACTACTTGTCATTATTGTTGTTATTTTTAGCAGTCGACATGTGGTACAATCTTGATATTGGTAATACTCCAATGAACATCATCAAACATGTCAAACATAAATAACGTGGGTTAGGGAAGCGGAAGTAGTAATACATAAATCTAGAAATGGAAAATTCACAACAAGGTCAAAAGGGTACACTTTTCCTATTCTTTTCCTAGCTGTGTTTTAGGAAGTCTTGCCACCAGGAATTCAACCATTGTCTTGGTTTATTCTGACTGTACGATTCAGTCATTTGCGGTTTAAAGTCTCATTCACTATCTTATGTTTGTATAAAGAGGTTTTTTTCATGTAGTCATGTCACTAATATTGCATGTATTTAACTTGAGTTTCCGATACCGAAGATGTAATATAGCAGACATAATTCAGTTATCATCAAACATGTAGGTGAACCCACTCTGGTGGCGTATAAAGACAGGATGGTCTGGGTTAGACATTTAGGTAACAAATCACCAACAAGTGAAGATGTTGAGGCAAAATTGATAATTAACATCTAAATGAAGAGAATAAAGCACCTGTCGGAGACCAAAGATACGCGGATTTATGTGTTTTCTTACTTAAAAGAGTTCTAGAAACACTGGGGTGTTACATGACATATGCAGGTAAATTTTAATTAGATGTCAACAGAATTCTTTAATGAGATCTTGAAATTCTTCAACTACAACTTGTGGTGACATAATTTGATGTTTTCATAACCTACATATACACTATGAAATTTAAGAAAGGGACAAATCCCAATAGCTACGTGGTCTGTATGTCTTTAATTTCAGTGGCAATTTGTTCAAAATTATATATAAATATGCGTCTTCTTAAAATAATGGCAAACCTCCTTATAGACTTTACATCAACTCCATTACAGTGTCCTTATTTTCAATATCAGTTTGTCTTAAGGAGATATTGGTTTTTTCTTCATAATCGTTACACTTCATTATTACTTCTGCGTTCCGCTATATATACTAGTTTTACAAGTATATATTTTACATCCGGGCGCCTATGCACGTATTCACAACGAGGCTTAGCGCGAGTACAGAGTTGCTGTGTTTGTACACAAAATGTGTTTGGTGAGGAACTTTCAATATCTTAAATTAGCATACTTGTGACGGCACAAATACACTTTACAAGTTGAAAAATACAAGTAGACATATAGCAAAAAAATATATATAATCATACGAGGTATCAAACGTTATGCGACTGGGTGTCTGGCATATGTGATATGCCTGCTGGAGAAGAGACTAGTTATTAAAGGTTTCTGCTTCTAATGTGGCATGTGTATCTTGACATCTCTTTCATATAGTAAAGAATAGCGTATTGACACCCAATGAATACAGGTTCGAAATTGGACACCTAACATGTGTGACACACAAAAAAAACAAGTGCTGAAATACGTATTTTTCATATATAAAAGTTTGTTTTGATTAGTTGCATCGTGTCTTATTGTGTATCCATACTTAGTGATTGTGACTGCTCTTGGCAAAAGCATTTGCCTTTTAAACCTCTAAGAGCAGTTTGTGATAGGAAGTTTTAAATTGTTAAAGATTGACAACAGATTGCATTAAACTGTCAATGTTACCTGTGTACAAGATGTATGGTTACTTGGAACAGGTTGAGTCAAGGCTAACTGTATTTGGTGAGACGTCTAGTGTGCGCCGTTTATCTTCTCATAATTTTGCGTATTTTATAGAATTCCAATGATTTCTTGTTCTTCCGAAATCAATGAAGGTTCAAATACTGCAAAAGACTTTTTCGAATGGAAACTCTCACAGAAGTTATTTATGACAACAAAAGAGGTGCAAATATCAATAAAACACTTGTTTTGCAAAATCGAGAGGGTGTTCCCATATTTCAGATGAGTTGATTCTAATTCTGGATGTAGGTTCACTTTTTACATAGCAATTTGACTTATCAGCATTAAGTAATGATTGAATGGTATACAGTCATATTTTCTCTTGGAAAGGTTGATAAATTTTCCTATTTCCCTCTTCTTCAGAAGATAATCTAATGTAGAAGTTAGATATTGAAAACAACCCATGGCGTCTGGAGGATATGGGCGAGGGGGACGCGGTGCTGCCCTTCTTGAGGCCCTAAATGCACCTGTAAGAAAGCCTGGTGGAATGGAAGAGAAGCTAGCTCCTTCAAAGGTTTGTTTCGTGTGTAAGGAGAGTCTTTCTTTTTTCTTCTTTTTTTTTTAAAATGAAGTTCAGGTGTCAAGGTTTTCAAAAATTATTCGTTTGATAATGTTTACAGATAATGATTTTCTGTGTGATAATTGAGACTTTTACCTATAGTGGCAGTGAATGAAATCTGGGTCCCTTGTAATAGTGTTTGAAATGGTGGCATATTTCTGGCTCAAAGAATATAATTTTGGATAAGACAGGAGTTGCAATCCAAAATTCTGTTGATCTTAAGAAATTTCAACAAAGGACTTGTGGATCCAATGTAAACATGTTTTTTTCTTTCCATAAACCTTTGAATAAACAAACTTGGATTTAAAATAGTGATTGAAATATGGAATATTGGCTTTCCAATTGATATACAAATTTAGATTTTATTATGGTAACTTATTTTCTAAGTTATTGCTATTTGACCATAAAAAAAAAATCATTTCAAATTTTCAAGTAAACAATCGGATCAATATTGTAGAGCCTTTCCTTACTTCAGTGGTAATTAAAAGACCTTAATTTTATTTGGAATTTTTTACCATAGATTCCATAGACATAGTTCATGAAAACACCTCTTAATAAAACTTCTGTAGCTAAAAAGTTTCAAGTTTCTCCTTGGTTGTCTATGGGGACACTCTTGTAAATATGGTTAATTGACTTTTTCACAAAAATTTATCATTTTGCATTGAGTTTAATCGTGGAGCATGAATGGCTTTGAAAATTTTCAAGTACTTAGATTAGACTTGTTTTCAGGTAGAATATGCCCCAACAGGTAACTTATAACACAAAGATAAACATAATGGCCCAACTGTTGCTTACACCTAGAAATACCTCTCGTAGGTTATCACAAACAGTTCAGGTCCTGTCAGATTGTTAGGTCATCTGTCTTGAAGGGTCAGGATGACTTATAGCCATCAAGTTTTGTCCATCATCAGTCGTCCTCTGTGCATAAACTTCCCATTCAAATGACTCCATTTAACAAAAGGCCAAGGGTGCAGATATTGGGCCTGTAGCATTATGGGATGAAGGGCTACCAGGTTTGTTAAAATTAATGACCTTGACCCTCATTCAAGGTCACATGGGTCAAATATGTTCAAATCTTCAAACAACTTCTTCTCAATATCCAAAAGACCCAGGGTGCTGAGATTTAGCCTGAAGCATACTAAGCTGAAGGGTTACCAATTTGTTGATATGAATGACCTTTACCCACTTTCAAGGTCACAGGAGTATAGACTATGATTTCAAGTTTGGAGAAAATGTTTTTATGACCCACAAATGTCTTTGCAAGCTGAAGAGTAGTTGAATAATTTATCTAAGGTCTATTTGGCCTCTTTTATATATAGGTCTCTACAGTCAGATGATTGTTAAGGCCTGTGGGCTTCTTATTTCTTCACAAATTCCCACTACTTTCGTAGCAGGAAAGCATTATCTTTAACTCCAATGTAGCAATAAAATGCTAACATGTCCATTGGCATTGAAATGCCTTAGTGCAACATTTGTACTACATTCACAAACAAAGAGGAATTTCTGAGTTCAGTGTTTAATCCTGGAACCTCTTGTATGTTTGTTATTTGCTTTCTTAAAATGATGTTCCTCTTTAACCATCAATTACCTTTCCGTACTAAATACGTAGTGATTGGCAAACTGTGCTACTTTTTTTATCTGTTAGAAATGTTAGAACTGACCTTCTGAGTGAAATACTACCATAGTTACAGAAACATTGTTTTGATGTTATCAGGTATCCCAGCCAGGTATACTGCAGACCAAGTCACAACCACCTGAGCCACCTGTGGCTAGCCAACCACCACCTCCCAAGTCTATAGCCAGGGGTAGAGGTGCTTTGGGACTCCTGGCATCTGCAGCAGGTCGAGGAATCCTCCCTCCAAAAGCACAGCCAGCAGGTATGTAGTGTTGAGAACTTACCCCTAGTCTAGAAGTAAGAAAATGACATCACAAATATGGTTTGCTGATCTCACTGTTGAAGGTATTTGTGATATGTGAAAGTCTACACAACAATAAATTTACTATATTTTTTCTACCTATAGGCAGTAGTTTTTCTCCTTCTGAGATGAACGTGTTTCAGTTTAACAATATTTCAAGAAGTTTCTGATATTACTAGATTGATCATGAATATATACTTGACATTACTCGGGCATATATTGTTTACTCAAGACTTTCAATGGTTTAATTGCCCTTTCGCTATTTCACTTAACAAAATTTATGAAATCATCTCCTTCCACAGTTTTCACCAGACTCGCATCATGATACTTTCTTTTATGATTAAGTGTATTTCTTTTTATTACATGAATCTCTTGTCTAGTCCTCTGCAAAATGTTTTCATCCATTTGGTGTACAATAATGATTGTACATATATGGAATTCAATTGCTTTACAATTTCAGGAACAACACCAGCAGTGACCCCAACAGAAACAAGTGTACAGCCAAGAGGAGTAGAGGCTCTGTTTAGACTCACGTAAGTTTCTGTTTCCTTAAATATGTAATTTCATATACATGACATGGAAAATATATTAATGTTAAAAAGATGGGTTCAGAAACATGACATGGAAAATATATTAATGTTAAAAAGATGGGTTCAGAAACATGACATGGAAAATATATTAACGTTAAAAAGATGGCTTCAGTGCATTTTGTCAAATTATTCAGTACTTGCTTACTTTATTTGGTGTATAGATATCTTTTCTGATTGAAAGATTATTCATTGCTATTTAGTTCTTGTAAAAGTTATTAATTGAATAATTATATTTGATATATTTGTAGAGTCAAAAACATCAGACGACCATCTTGAATTTTGACAATCAAAGATTATTATCACTATTTCTTGTGAGGAATTGTCTGAGTTCCTATGATTAAAAGCAAAAACCGAGAAAAGGAGGAAAAAGGAAAACTTTCAAAGAACACAAATAAAGATCAGACAATGATGGGTTCAAATTTCCTTTTTTGATCTCATATCAGATCTTGTTCTCTAACTGAGTGTAATGTTACAGGTCTGGAAGAGGTGGCATGATGGCTGCAGCTGCTGCTAATGGTGGACAACAAACCGGCCTGGGCCAGCCTTTACAACAAATGCCCTCTAAACAGTCACCACCTGCTAGTCTTGGTCAGTCTCCTCCTGCAACACAACAGGCAACAGTTAAGGCACCAGCTCCAGTGGCAAGTATGGGCAAGGCTTCAGGGGAAAGGGCGCCGCTCACAAGTAGATTTAACAGCATGTCATTAGATCGTGATGAGGTGGTTCACCGACCAGGTTCAGTCGGTAAACAGTAAGTACTTGTGTGGCATTGTCATGAAATATATAAACTTACAAATATCGGTCCCATTTTTTTGAAGCGTTTAGGTCTACTGGTATTTGAAAGAGATTTTTGTTAAGTTAGGCAACAGGGTTAGAATTTTCAGATTGGTTGATTTATTTAGAGACAATTTTTGCAGAACTACTAGGCAATTTTCTGTATGCTGATAGCACTTTTTACCAATGTTGTTCAAAGGATATATAAATAAAAGCAAAGGAGGGGAAGTGACATAATAAAATGGTCAGATTGGTAGACTTTATATATGTCAATTCTTTACAAGGTAGTTAGTCTACAAGCAGTGGCATCTTCTAACACATATCACCAATTCAGGACTAACTGTTCTTTACCTCATTTTCATTTAATCATATTGTAATGATAATATTCTTCACGTGTATTAGTATTGTGACAGCCATTCTTTCATCACTCCTTTTTTCAAAGTACTACTGTGATTTTTACAGCCCAAATATCCATCTTAGTACTTTCCAGGTCTGTTGGCCACCTATAATCTTCTCTGATTTAGGGTGTCTTTGATATTGAAACTACCATTTAGATTTTAACTTCTGAAACATGAAAACTTGCATTCTCTCATTCAGATTAAGTTTTGGAATAGTAAGAATTCATGGATTGTTGACTAATTAAAGGAACAAACAGGATTTACAGGGTACTTCACAGGGGTTTTGTAACAAGATTGTCATATCCTACTGGTTACTTGGATAGTCACTAGATAGGCTCAGAATTAGGTGATAATAATCTGTAATAATACAGGATTTAAATGGACCAGGTATAATTTTACTTAGCGATAAAACTTTGATCTGTATGAAATGAATTTTTTTTTTAACTGGTTATTAGACACTATGGAAAATTATTCACATAACTGGGCAATTGCTTTAAATAAATTTTAAAATTGCTTGAAATGGTCTTCATATTTTGCTTTGTAGTTTGTTGTTGTCAGCAAACTACATCAAGCTACGCTGTCTCAACTCAGGGGTATACCAGTATCATGTAGATTTCAGTCCCCAAGTGGACTCTAAAAACATGAGGTTCAAGATGATGAGTGAGCTGAAAGATATCATAGGAAGTACAAAAGCCTTCGATGGTAGCATACTCTACCTGCCTATTAAACTCCCAAATCAGGTAAGACATTTTGAGGTTCAGATATTAATCTAAGTAATATTTGATCCAATGATCCAGTAAAGGGACAATTGGGAGAAATCAATAATTGCAATATGCTTTTGTATTACAGGAAACTGTAGCACACTCAACAAGGCTGACTGACAATGTGGACATCACAATCACAATTAGACTGACCAAGGTGGTGGCTCCAGAGGCTTGTGTGCCACTCTACAACATAATCTTCAGAAAGTAAGGCCTTTGACAGAATGGGAGAGGTTTATGAAAAGTGTTCTTTATGGCTTTTGAAGCAAAATATTTATTTAACATCCCATTTAAAAGCATTCATCATATGTCCTTAATAAATTACCTGGCGTTTTAGATTTTGTAAGCACCATGCCATGTCAAAAACTATACAGAAAATTAGAATAATCAGAGTTTAATGAAAAAAAATAACCTGTCATGTCAACTAGGTAGAATGAAACAGGTAGAAGTAGTAGAAGAAAATTATTAAACTAAGATTTTGTCAGGTAAATATTTGTCATTTTCATGAGAAATGGTGGGATCCATTTACATAGATGTTGTATAGGATACCACAGCGACTATGCATTGTGCCAAGAGTTGGTTGGCATATGTTGAAGTAAATTTCAATTACAGTCAAACTTGATGTTTCCAAGTTTAAGGGACTTTGATACATCTAGACTTTGAATCATTTAATATTTAATAAAACACAAGTTAAAATACCAAAAAAAAAATTTAATCGAAACTAACAAGAATTCAACAATGTGTGCTTACATTTACATTTTCCTTAGATAGGTAAACACATGCTCATGTTCAGTTTGTATTTTACAAATCAGTTTTAAAGGAAATGAAGTGCAGCATGAAAGTAGTAGTTACTTGTTACAGTCATATTTTAAAGAGCGGTATAAAAACCTTATAGGCACTAATGAATTAAAAAGAATAAAAATCATAATGTATTATGTCTTGAAGCAACAGCATTAATATCCATCATAGGACATGAAAATTACAAGTATGTTTGGGTGATGTTCTGACAGTATGTTTTCACAATTTCATAAAGTAGAACTCACCATAGCTATTACCACATTAGCATTGGTGAACATCAAATGATATTCCATTATCCTTGTTGATTAGTTGTCATGGCTTGTACGTAAATGTGTGAAATTGTGGCCCAGAGCAAAAATACCTGCTACAGTACAGATAAATGTTTTATTCAATTTATTCAGTGTCAATGACTCTGTTATTACAGCTCATTTGGCTTGAGTTCCTTCACAGATTGTCTACGCACAGATATAGGGCCTGATGTTACGTACAGTTTACATAACAATCTCTCCATCAGGACTGATGCTGCAGGAAAACGATGAAACATGGAATTGATTGGGTTGATTTTCTTAAACCTGTTACACAAACAGATTAAGTTGTTGTTGTCTTTTTACTTTTAACAGGATAATGAGAATTCTGGAGATGGTGGAGGTTGGCAGATATTATTACAACCCAAAGACACCATCAGCAGTCCCACAGCACAAGTAAGAGACATCTGCTTACTTAAATGTATCCAATCAGAACATTTGTTTCCATATTATTTTCAGTTGTAAAATTTTTCTTAAATTATAACGCATTAACAAATGAGTATAAAACAAAGTTAAGCAATAATGACTTGAACAGAGTTTTAGAACTTATGGGTAAACTAAATAAAATTGTTAGTGATTAAAATTTTTGTTATTTACATTTGTGTACATGATGGTGAAAATAGAATTTTCATCTGTTGTGTATGCTTTAATATTTTTTATTCCTCCATAAAATGAAATGTTGTTATTAATGAAAGGTTGGAAGTATGGCCTGGTTACATAACATCAGTGTGTGAAAACGAAGGTGGATTGATGTTACTGGCTGATGCTAGTCATAGAGTCCTGCGCACTGAAACTGTGTTGCAGATGTTGTAAGTATCATAAACTATCATGCTATGTTGTGATATTATGAGAAAATCTGCATATTGAAGTGAGACAATCTTCATACCACATATATCATTTGCAGTTTGGCTGTCGTTGTAAATCCTTGAAACTCATCTTCTTGAGTTCTTCGATGAAAACCTACCCATGTAATTCACGTTGGCTAAGGTCTTGTATAAATTACATTTGTACACGCCATTATAAACTTTGCCAAATTTCAAACTCTGTGACAAATAAAATCATACCTAACTAGTGTAAAGTGTGTCTGCTTAGATACCACTTTACTCAGGTGAGTATTTAAAATACCAATTATTCCTGATGAGCTTAAACCTCAATTATCTGAGCTTGACATGATATCTTGGTATCGTGTATAGAGATCTCGTTAATGGTACTGTATATGAAGAATTTTGAATACATTAAACTATGAATGGAGTTAGTATAGAATGATATTACTTATCACTGTTACTTACCTGAAAAGAGAATACTTTGTACTGGAAAACAACTGATGAGTTATTGATAAAAGGGCTCTCATTGAAAAAACCTCTATCCCAATTTAGGACATGCAGGTTTTGTTTACAGGTGCCACTCATAGAATTATTTGAAAAAAATTACTCAAGAAGTTAAAAGAGGAAACTGAATCAAGAATAGAAATAATTTATTTTGGGCTCCATAGGTCAGGTAGATGTTTACTGCAAAACACTAACATTTATATATGTTGCAGGCATACCATACTACAAAGGAATCCGCAGAGTTTCCATGATGTGTGCAATCGTACCTTGATAGGGACCATTATCCTGACACGGTATAACAATAAAACCTACAGAATAGATGACATCCTGTGGGACAAATCACCCCAGCACACATTTACTTGTGGCAACACCGGTGAACCAATGACTTTCATAGAGTATTACAAGTAAGCAGGTTATGAATTGTTGCTAGTCCAAAATTATCATCAGATGGTTGATTGTTCATTTGATTTTCATTAGGTGCATCATCTGCCCTTGAATAATCTTTTATCTGTAGTCATAATACTAGGCACAGAGATGGTTCTCTCTCACATATTCAAATTTTGAGATTAATTCCAAAAACAGAATTGATGACAAGTGACCATCAGAATTTGACAGTTCAGTTCCCCTTGTTTCTTATTTCATATTCAGATTTAGAATAAGTCTAAAGAGCATTTGGCTCAGAGACAAGTGTCACAGAATTTAAAAGAACAAAAATTGTTTAGAACCAATAAAGATCATTCCTCTTGGACAAATGTTACTGTCAATGTTATTTTGATCTGGTTTTTTTACAGGAAAGCCTATAACAAAACCATATCTGATCATGAACAGCCTCTTCTACTTCACAGACCTAAGAGGAAAACTCTACCAGGGGTAGGTAGGATTACTCCATTATTTTGAAATATTGTTTTACTTAATTGATGCAGAAAATGTTTCTTGAAATTACAATTATTGATATTTTTTTATGAAATACACTTGATAACGTTTCACTATTGATTGTTTCTCTTTATGTTGTATGTCATTGACTTGATGTTAGTTACCTGAACATTGCTTTTCATGCAATACTTCATAAACTGGCTCCTTAAGGCCCATCGATGTCAAATAATTCTCTTTTTATAGCCCACCTAGTGGACAAGATGGGCTAATCAAATCACTTTTTGTATCTGTTGTCTATAACAATTATTTTTGCCACTCCTCTGAAACAGTTACTGGGATGCTCTCCAGTGCATAATGACCTAGATATTCCTTACTGATTTTCAGGATATGATTTTCAAGATGGCCACTAGATACCATATTGTGTTTTGGTATGAAAAGTTTTTAATTGTTGCTTCTCTAAAACCGACAAAGACGATAAGCTCAAAATTCAGTGGTGTGTTCCAATTTGTCTGTAGTTTGTTGTGATGTTCAGTATGATCTGATGAGATGGCTACTATGACACCCATCATGTTCTTGTTATGTATTAGTAGTGTAAGCATATCAGGTAACTATTTCATGTAGGATCATCAGACTTCCTGGAAAATCATAGTTTATTGGTTAGAAAGTAGGTCATTCTTACCTTTATTTTTACCTATGGCCCAGTTCATAGAAAAATCTTAATCTCATTATGTCTCCAACCCTTTGTGAACCTTTATCCATGTTCAAAGACAAAAATTGTGTCTTCCTCCATATAAACATCTCTGGCAGGAGGAGTACTGTGTGACATACCAAGGTCACTGTGATCTGTGATATAACTTCTTGACCCTGTTCAAAGAATTGCTCTCTTTTTTGGCAATATCTGTAGCCTTTTTTCATGTGGGGTTATCCATTTGAATGTAAAAGGACATCTTGTGCGAGAGGAAGGTCTTGGAGTTCAAAGTGACAAAGCACGGTTTAAAACGAGTGTCAGGTGACCCGTACAATACTAAAGACCCTTGCATAATATTCATTCCATGTGTGCTAAGAACAGTCTTCAATCTCTCATATACTACAAGCACTTGAGCTTTGGATAGGTTTTCAAATTTAGATATCAATGTTGCTGTAAATGAAGATAGAAAGGATGGAACACCTTAATCTGTTGGAGTCACTTGATGAAGCTAAAACTATATCTAAGATGTTTACCTGTTGCTGCACATTTAAAAGACTGAAAACTGAATGATCAACATTTTTACATTATGAAGATGTGATTTATCAGATTGATAATTTCTGGTAAGTTCACAGTTAAAAAGCTTATAGAGAATAGATGCTGTTTTTATGCTGTTGATGTTCCATAAAAGTTCAACATCATTAAAAATATTGATTTTTCCCCCACAAAACAGAATAAAGAGGCAAAGTCTGAGGCTATTTGTCTGATTCCTGAGTTATGTTATGGCACAGGACTCACTGATGAACTCCGAAATGACTTCAAAGTTATGAAGGTAACTTAAATGGCTGTTGGGTGTATTGGATATGAGTTATTCTAAAATTAGTTGCCAAAAGATGTGTATGACCCGGTCTGGTGTACCACTGATGTAAGTGTTGTGATTTATTTCGAGTTCATGGTTTTAAATCTGGTATATGTACAATTTATCTCAATATTCCTTGGAAAACTTACTTCTTGTCTGCAAGAAATTAACTTTAGTATGTTTCTGATGTCAAGAGTTTTGGTTCTCGTACTATTTCATTTTCATACAAAATCTTGTTAATAAATGTCTACAAACAGCATATTCTTTCAAACTGAAATCCCTCAGTAAGTCTCACTATTTAGTAAATCTTAAGTATCCAATATCATAGAAAACAAAGCAGACATAGATAAATATCTGTTTGAAATCCTCTGAGGAAGTCCATTCTGACATACAATGAAAATGGACATCTAAATGGAGAAAAGTGTTTGATATAGGGTAGTAGGTTACTGTTTTGATCACATTAAATCTTTTTGTTCAGGACATTGCATGTCATACGAGAGTGACACCAAATCAAAGAAACCTGACCATGAAGAAATTCATAGACAGTGTTAATGGAAATCCAGATGCCAAGAAGGAACTGTCAAACTGGGGATTAGAGCTAATGAATGATACACTAAGTGTGAGTAATTTTCTTGAAACAAGGAAAAGGTATGTAAAAGTGAAGACATTGCAGAGTGACAGAGACTGAAAGGAATATTATCAACAGTAATGTCTACTTCACTGAGTTGTATTTCATAATGACATTTCTGTCAACACAGACACACCAAAAAAAATATACCAAGAGTGAGACAATTTTGTGATACAGCTTTTATGTTATTTAGATGGATGGTAGATTGCTTCCCCAAGAAAACATCATCTATAGAAATTACAAAAGTTTGGCTGGTCCAAATGCTGACTGGGGCCGTGATGTCACCAAACAGCACGTGATAACGGCAGTACCTCTCAAGAACTGGGTTGTACTATACACAAAGAGGGATGGGACTAAAGCTTCAAACTACATTAAACAGATGCTCCAGTGTTGTCCGCAGATGGGCATAGAATGTCATCCTCCAGTTCGGTTTGAGCTACACGACGACCGAACAGAAACAGTGATAAGAACTCTGAGAGAGAACATTAACCCATCTGTAAGATAATTGTTGATTCTAACTTGTCAAGAACCCTGCTTTATTCAAGATAAATCATTATATTTTATAAAGTTGGAGAATCATAAATCCTGAAGGACAACTTTTTAACTTAAGCCTCTGACATGCTTGATCTCCTTCACCATTGTTTACAGAAAATAATAGTTTTCTCAAATCATTGCACCTTTGCAGCCACTTAATTAGATATTTCAATGTTACAAAATTCAATTGCCCTATGATAATTAGATATCTCAATATTACTCTATTATCTTTATATGTACACATGTAAATCAGTATGTTTATTGGAATGGGTAGTTGTATGCCTGTGGGAATGGGTAGTTGTATGCCTGTGGGAATGGGTAGTTGTATGCCTGTGGGAATGGGTAGTTGTATGCCTGTTAACATTGTTATACACTGAAACATGCACCATTAGAGCCGTAGTGCTATTTAAATGCTGATTTTTTTTTCAATTGTTTACAGATTCAGATGGTGGTGATTATCTGCCCTACTAGTCGAGATGACCGATACTCAGCAATTAAGAAGCTGTGTTGCTCGGAATGCCCTGTTCCTTCTCAGGTAAGTGAACCAAATTAGACATTTAATTCTAAAAGCATTATTAAGCTCAGCTGTGAAGTTGTTTGTTAAAAGTAAAAAGGTACACATATTGTGATCGTTAAATTGTGCCAACTAAACAACTATATAATCTATTAGCTAAGAAAAGCAAAGATTAAACTATATAACATAAATTTAATTTTCATATTGATGGGTGATTCCTCAAGTGACCTTTGTAGTTTCTGCTGATAGAATTTTTTTGAAGACCTAGATTGGAATATGCAGTAGACTTGTTTGTGATGTTCATTTTTATGATCTCAAGGTCTTGATTCTTGAAAAATTCAGTATTTTTGGGTATAGGTATATGTAAAAAGGGAAATTCCATAATTTTTTTAAAATTAATGCCTACTGAATTTCTGTATACTGAATTTCGAGTGTATTACCTTCTGAACAAAGAGTTAGTTTTCATTGAAGTATGGGAATAAATAAATTTTACTTTGACTCTTTAAACCTTACAGTTTAAAAATCACTATTTTAAATCTGATCGTAAACATCTTCAATTAAAACCACTACATCAACTAGTAATGGGGCATTGTCATTTGTTTCTTTCTTAATACCAATATGCATTGCTCCTTTTGCTTGGTAAATGTTAACAAATTTAATGTTTTCACTTCATTTTGTCTTACATAATAGGAAATATGTATTTTCATAATGTTGTTAAACAGCATTATTATGTTTTAATTTGGTTCATTGGTTTAAATACAGGTCATCATTGCCAAAACGATCATGAGAGAGGATAAACTGAGGAGTGTTACTCAAAAGATAGCATTGCAGATTAATTGTAAGATGGGAGGAGAACTCTGGGCATTGGAAATTCCAATGGTAAAGTCAAAACAAATCTTTTCTAGAAACCTACCTTATAGAACTTTGGGCATTGGAAATTCCAATTGTACCTTCAACAAAAAGCTTTCTCTTGTAGAATTATATCTGATAGAACTCTGGCCATTCGAAATTTCATTGGAAATTTAAGATCCATTAATCACTTTCAACAAATAGCTTTCTCTTGTAGAATTATATCTGATAGAACTCTGGCCATTCGAAATTTCATTGGAAATTTAAGATCCATTAATCACTTTCAACAAATAGCTTTCTCTTGTAGAATTATATCTGATAGAAGTCTGGTATTTGAAAATTCCAATTGTAATGCTGACACAGAATTTCCTCTTCTAGAAATATGTCTTCAAGGAAAATACTCTGTAGATATGAATAATAGTGACATGATATACCGAACTGATGTGTTGAAGGCGATATTGATAGGTTGTTTACTATGGAAGAATTGTGTACTCTGTTAGATGCTTCACATTTACTTTGAATTATATTTCTCTCTCATCCTTTTCCTCAGAAAAAGCTGATGGTGATCGGGATAGACGTTTATCATGATGCTGCCAAAGGTAAGAGGTCAATCGCAGGATTTGTTGCCAGCACCAACCCCCAGTGTACCACCTGGTACAGCAGAGTGTGCTTTCAGATGCCAGGTCAAGAACTTGTGGATGGCCTCAAACTGTGTCTCATCTCAGCCATTAGAAAGTACCATGAAGTGAACCATGTGTTCCCTGAGAAGATTATTGTATTCAGGGATGGTGTGAGTGATGGACAACTCCAGTTTGTGTCTGGTCATGAGGTGGAACAGCTGAAGGGTTGTTTTAGTCAATTTGGAGAGGATTACCAGCCCCGCCTGGGAGTAGTTATTGTCCAGAAGCGTATCAATTCAAGAATATTCCTTAAGGTATTTACTTTTTGCCCCACATTTCACAATTTATAGAATGGCACATTGTCCTTCCTTTAAGTCCACTTTTAATTCAAAAGCTGCATGAAATGTCTCTAGATTCAAGGTCACAGGGGTCAAATATGCTAAACTGCAACAACAGACAGTGCTGTCAGTTCTGTTTAATTGAAAACTAAGTCTTCAAACTTCGAAAAAGTAACAACTTTGGAAGATGCATATATCAGTTCTAGGCCACTTGTGGATTTGTGTTTGTGCATTTGTCTACATCAACTTACTGTCCTTTCTTTATTAGGGTAATCATGAGATGGAGAATCCACCATCAGGAACTGTTGTTGATCACACCATCACGAGAAGGGAATGGTTCGTATTACAGTGTTAAAAATGTTTTCTTTATTAATTAAAATAAAGCAACAGAAATGTTACACTTTCAATGCATTATGATTGTTGGTAATGTAGAAATAATGAGCTTGATGTACAGAATAATGCAATACACATTATCAGAAATGTTGAAATTCTCTAACCACATTAACTATTTGTATCTTAGAATATCTGAATTAGCTGTAGTAAGAAGCTCATTGTAGAAGAGGAACCATAAATTGATTATTCAGTTTGGATAGAGACTATCCACGCCTCTTGTTATATAATATAAATAGTTGTATTTTTTCTTTCCTTGGAGTTATCAAGTTCCATTTAAAAAAACAGAACATTTCTGTCGTTTTTTATTATTATTAATATAAATGTTTCAAGCACTTTAAATTGATTTCATTCAGAAAGCTTAAAGCATATTTGAGATTTGAGAATTCAGAGATATCTCAACATGACAGAAACATCTCTTGAGAAACATTCAGATTTCAGAAGGTAAAGAAGATAAGTTAATTGTAAGTATGACTTGTTATTTGTAGGTATGACTATTTCCTTGTGTCCCAGCATGTAAGACAAGGTACTGTGTCTCCTACCCATTACATAGTGGTACATGACAGCACAAACCTCAAGCCAGACCACATGCAGCGACTATCTTACAAAATGACCCATTTATATTATAACTGGCCAGGAACTATCAGAGTTCCAGCACCTTGTCAGGTAAGTGAATCAACTAAATCAGAAATTACATATGTAAAATAATTCGGATAAATTTTTGAAAAAGTGATATAACCAATGTTTCTCTACACAGCACTTAAGAATAGCATTTGTATCAATGTTACATATTCCAGTTTCTGATTTCAAGGTTTCTTATTATGGAAAAAATTTTGTCATTTCAGTATGCTCACAAACTTGCCTACCTGGTGGGACAGAACATTCACAAGGAACCTGCACCTGAGCTATCAGACCGACTCTTCTTCTTGTAAACATAGTCCCACAACAAAAAGTACCTCATAAATCTTCTTTTAACATGCAAGCAGCATGAGGGAACAAACAGATCCATGTTACTGATCTTAATTATCCCAAATCACTTAGGGAAAAATTTGTTTTAGATGAACATAAAAATGAGATCCAGTTCCAAATAAAGTGTTTTGCCTGGCTAGAATAACATCCCTGGTGTCCTGATTTATGTGGAGCATCATCAATACAGACAATCGTACATTTTTATGGCAAAGCTGTTTGGACAAATCTGATGAGTTTTTGTGCAATTTTTGTAACTATAATATATTTACACATCACCTGTTGGGCTGGATGATGTATTTGTTTGATTTCATTGAAAGTAAAACACATTAATATGATCCATTTAAACTTGAATGCCAGGAGCTACATGACGGATGAACATGATAAAGTGCAATTACAGTAGGTGTGTCCTAACCAGCCCTTTGGTGCTATTTAATATGGGAAACCTAACACTGCCAGATATCTTGTTCCTCAGGTGAATGTATGTCCACTTTGCTGAACCACAATAGGATAAGATCCGGCTACCATGTATTTAGTTGATCTTTTCCTTATGTGGTTGCAAGATTGTCTTCTTCAGCAAATTGTTTTCATGTCTTGGTTTTTTGAAAATTCATGACATGTTTAAAGTGAGATGTCTGGATATAGGTATTTTGATATCTCAAGTTTGTGTGTCCTGGTCTTCAGCGAAGACTAATCCAATATGCAGCTACCTACCATTGTGACTTTTATATCTGTGATAAAGACAATCATAGTTATCATTTATTAACATTGCTACCTACCATTATGACTTGTATTTCTGTAATATCTTACAATTTATTAGCATTGCTACCTACCATTATGACTTGTATTTCTGTAATGTCTAAGCATTTGTAAGCATTGCTACCTACCATTATGACTTTATTTCTGTAATGTCTAAGCATTTGTAAGCATTGCTACCTACCATTATGACTTCTGTAATATCTTAGCATTTATAAGCATTGCTACCTACCATTATGACTTCTGTAATATCTTAGCATTTATAAGCATTGCTACCTACCATTATGACTTCTGTAATATCTTAGCATTTATAAGCATTGCTACCTACCATTATTACTTGTATTTCTGTAATAGTAACATCATGTTTAGCATTTATTAACAGAAGTGTGATGTCATCACTCCACATATTACTGTCACTCTGCTATGGAACATGTATAAGCCTATTTCATATTTGTAATTTTATCGATTTCATTTCTTATTAGCATCATTAATTTACATACATATTAATAAAAATATGAGTTTTGTTTCCACTACGATTACTGTAAATAGAGACCTAGTGCAATTGCTTCTCTACTCAATAATCAAATTAACCAAATGTTTTATTTGTGTTCATAATATCTTTTAGGGAAGCCCATGTTTCAACTTTTCACAAGCATGCCTTAGTAATGCAGTTCAACTTTCAAAAATAATGTCTCTGTCAATGTCTGTTACTTGACATTCTGATAATCTAACATAAGGTATTTGAAATTATCTTCTGGAAGTCTTGCATGGAATGGAGAGAATTTTTACTGGAATAGTTAAAGCGGTACAACTGATTGAAGTGAGGTTTTGTAGATTTTTGGCCAAAACAGTCATGAGTCTTGCAGTGGGGTCTCTGCCAGTTGATCACAGTTGACAAAACCTTTGTGTTTAGTCAGAACACGGTAATTAGATCAGGTGGTGTAAATAAGAGGGAGGAATGATCAAGATTCAGCATTATTCAAGAACTATGAAAGCAAGGAATGTATCAATGAAGGAAAAAGTGAAAATGTTGAGTATTCTTTGGATGTGTTAAACTAAATTGAATTGTTCACTTGGTTTAGACATGTCAACAGCAGTTAAAATATTTCAAAAACTGGCTGTAATATCAATAAACTCAAGTGTGATTGAGTTTAACCCTTAATACTGATGTAAATGTACTGTCTGCCAAAACTAGTCGTTGTTATGCTCCAGCCTTTTTCTGGGTTTATCTATGCAATCAATTTTGTTTGTAAAATGTCCAGGCAGACATATTTGTAATTTTGGACTTTTCCATAATTAATAATGTAGGAGGGTCTATGTCGTCTTTATTCCCTATGTTGAGCATATGAAGGGCACTTTTCAAAGCCTGCAACCATAATTAAAAATGTGTGTATGAGGGTAAACTGATCTGAACTTGACCCCAACAAATGATAAATGCCTCTTTCCTAACTAATTACGGAATAGTCCTGGAGTGTCATTTTATTCTTAATTTAAATATGTGGTTCAAAATTTTAAACTGTGTACATGTATGTTTTACCAGTTAATATTTTATGTTCAGTGCACATAGCATTGTTAGTGAAACTATGATGTTGATAATAGTTGTCTTGTTATAGTACTTTCTAATGATTTTTTAAAGTTCTATCAGTGTTGTGAACATTTTTGTTAGCATTTTGTTAGGTAATATATATTTTCAAGGGAAAAACATCTGTCGATTATATATTAGCTTGTGTTTAAATAAAATAAAGGTGGGAAAAGAGAAAATACTGACCAAATTGAAATATTTCTTTACACTTTTCTTTTACAAAATTGTAGTACAAAATTTGAATTCACAATTTGGAAACAGCTTTTTTCCTGGGGATTTGCAATTTAAATCGGAAACTAAACAAAGAAACAAATCTTTAGAACAATAAAATAAATTCTTCAGCTGATCGATGCTTAAGAAACTATGCCCCCTCTTTTTTTCCAAAGATGAGCAAACCCTTTCAGAAGTTTTGTAAACATATAAGTCTTAATGAAGCAACTGTATAACACTTTTCAGGAAAAATAAACGAAATTTTTTTGGTGACCAGTAGCAATTTAATTTATGGTATCATAAAAATCTTGAAACAATTTGTCAATTTGGTGATCAAATTTGCAGATTATGTGGCATATGTTTTAACACTATATTTATGCTACATTTTAATAACAGTCTTATATTTTGATATTTGATGGACAACCATGAACGCTACTTGAAACTTGGGTTTTAGATTCAAAATGTACTACAGTAAACAACTCATGTATTGGTTTCACAGATACGTTTTACCCAATTCATGTCCCAACTTTGTCCTCTCTACTTGACTTTTGGCTACCTTTAAAAAAACATTGTCCAACACAAATTGCAATTGTTGTCCTCACCTTTTATTGGAAAGAACAAAAACATCCCCTGCTCAAAAACCTTGATCCTCACAGTTTTCCCTGACATAAGTTATACTGGTCAAAGTTAATTTGCTCATCAATGGAATTTTTTGGGGAAAAAACAAAACAAAATAATCTTGACTGATACGAGTCAAAAGTGTGAAATAATACTCGGGTTCTAACAAATATTTGATAACCAAAAGGATATTTGAAAGATGACTCACCTTAGTTTTCAGTTAATTAGAAGTTATTCTTTGAAATTTTAGGGGATTTGTTAAAAGCTTCTAAAAATTCTATTGGTGTGCACTGAAGAGTTGTTTGAACCATTCTTTTGTATTGATGAAAGTATGGAATAAAAGTTATTTTTTCTTAAGTTTGGGTGTTTTTTTATGGTCACTTCAGCATAGTTTGTATCTGTTGTTTATCGTCTGTATTTGTACCTTAAAATACTATAAATATTCTGTCTTATAAATGACCTTTCCTACTTTCAAGAACATGTGGTTCAAATTTATGAAGATTTAAACTTTAATAGAAGAACAATAAGGATATCAACTCATAGGTGTACCAAAGGTGAGGTGATGAGAAAGCAATTCACTTTTCAAATATAGATGTTATGCTGGTAACATAACCAATTGTAATGAAAAGATGAAAATGTTCTGTCAGTTTCCTCAGCAGGTCTTTGACCTCAGCTTATTGTACACTCATATTTAGTTGCAACAAGCAGCCACATATTAATTCTTTCTTGACCTATCATTCACCTCCTAGTGGTTAGTTTCCACTCATAAAATAGGATCAATTATTAGAATTGAGATTAAATTGTAATTAATGAAACATCTGAAAAGAACAATTACTGAAAGATCCATAAATTTCCAAATGAGTTTTAATTTTGGGTTGTAATGTTGACCAGTATTGCATTTTTTTTTCTGACATATTTTGTAATATTAAATTTACAATTTACTCACTAGGATTGGTCAAAGGTCTTTGGATAGGATGATATAAAGGCTCTGTAAATGACCTTGACTTGCACTCAAGTTGATCTTCTCCCCAATCTTCGTATGAGCTATATAAGCTAAATTCAGTATAACATGATCATCTCTCCAACTATTGTGTGAACTGCACAAATTCTTTACAAGTTTGATCAGCTCTTTAACCATTACATATTATAACTTTCATCTTCTCTCATTCTATTAAATGAGCTATTCAAGTTCTACATGTGTGAATACAAGTTTTATCTTCTCTCCAACCATTGTACAATCTATACAAGTTCTTTATGGCTTGTATCTTTTCTATCGTATAAGCTATGTAAATTCTATTCCTACAGAAGTTTTACCATTTTATCAGATATGTTACTTCTTAATTTGATATATTCTCTAACCATTTTATGAACTATGCAAATTCTTTTATAACCTTTTGAAAATATGAAGATCATCTTTTTTTCTTGATGATTTGATGCATTTAATCACATGCTTACCACATCCACCAACCAAGTAAAACCTTACACATAAAATTTGATCTTTTCAGTACTTTCAATAAAATTCTTCTTGTGTCAAAATTCAATTGGGCTATTGGTCAGCCAATTTGATCTTTAACTGGTCCTCAAAACTGATCATGCACAAATAAATACAAAAACGAATTACATCTGAAATGTGAAATATCCATCCTGAACTGAACTTCTTGAAATGTAGAGATAAACATTCAGTACCAAATCAAGAGATGGTGATATCAGTCTCATAACTAGGATGGTGACATCAAATGCTGCTTTTAACTGAAAACAGCCAAACAGCCACTAAATTTTATTCGTCTCAGGAAATGAAACTGCAATATGCGAGACAAAATAGTTCAGTCTCTAAGACAGGGAATCAGCATTAGTCTTTGACAGGTGTGCTGAATGAATTTGTCTACATACCAGCCCATCAAAAACATATACTACATATATCATACTGGTCTCTCTACACAGGGCAAAGCAAACAAATAGCAAGCATGTACCTTCTGCTGACACTGTCAGTATGTTGGATATTGGACAATAAAGGTATGTCTCCTCTTACCAATCTCGGATACACGAGACTGTACTATTTGTATAGTCTGATCATTATGGTCAAAACATAATCTGCACCACATCATCCAACTTGGAATGCTAGAACACTTGATTTTTTAGAAACCTGTGGAGACAGGCTTTGAGTTGCACCATCACAGACCCTGTTCAAGAAATTTGGTTGTTCTGACTGGCATGCTTTTCAAACTCTTGCTGCAATCTCTCTTCCAGCGCAACAACAAATAGAGGAGGTAAGTGTGCTTCTTGGCCAATTCTTCTAGCAACTGCCCCGGCTTTATCACACTGCAAGTAAAATACAGGGTCAAAAAGGTTTTCTGATTTTTTTATTGATGGTTTAACTGATCACAAGTATCAAGTAATGCTATAATAAACGTCACATGACAGTCATGTGATGTAAAGTCTTAATTTGTAAAACAAGGACTATGTACATGTTCATGATGAACAAATTGTAGTCTTCACTCAAAATTTAAATAATGGCAAAACGATATTGTGAATGGAATCATATCAACTTATAAGGTTTCAGAGGCCCCATGGGCCACATGTATGCAATGGTGTACAGTATGTCGTACTGTAGTGAAACTACCCTACCTTGTAGATAACAAGAGGCCCATGGGCCTTAACGGTCATCTGACAAAAAGCAAGCCAAACCTAGAAAGTGGGTTGAGGTCATTCATTTGAACAAACTTGGTAGCCTCTCCTCCAAGCATCTTACAGGCCCAATATCAGCACTCATGGACTTTTGCTTGTTGAGAAGAAGTCGTTTGTATATTTTAACATATTTGACCCCTGTGACCTTGAAAGTGGGTTGAGGTCATTCATTTGAATAAACTTGGTAGCCTTTCCTCCCAGCATGCTACAGACCCAATATCGGCACTCATAGACTTTTGCTTATTGAGATGAAGTCCTTTGTATATTTTAACATATTTGACCCCTGTGACCTTGAAAGTGGGCCAAGGTCATTCATCTGAACAAATTTTGTAGGGCTCCATGCCAGCATGCTATGGGCCAAGTATTAGCCCCCTAGGCCTTCTAGTATTTGAGAAGAAGTTATTTAAAGATTTTGACATATTTGACCCCTGCGACCTTGAAAGTTGTTCAAGGTCATTCATTTAAATAAACTTGGTAGCCTTTCCTCCCAGCATGCTACAGACCCAATATCGGCACTCATAGACTTTTGCTTATTGAGATGAAGTCCTTTGTATATTTTAACATATTTGACCCCTGTGACCTTGAAAGTGGGCCAAGGTCATTCATTTGAACAAACTTTGTAGGGCTCCATGCCAGCATGCTATGGGCCAAGTATTAGCCCCCTAGGCCTTCTAGTATTTGAGAAGAAGTTATTTAAAGATTTTGACATATTTGACCCCTGTGACCTTGAAAGTTGTTCAAGGTCATTCATTTAAACAAACTTGATAGCCCTTCATCCCAGCATGCCACAGGCACAATATCAGCAATCTGAGCCTTTTGGTTATTGAGAAGAAGTTGTTTAAAGATTTTAACATATTTGACCCCTGTGACCTTTAAAGTGGGTCAAGGTCATTCATTTGAACAAACTTGGTAGTCCTTCATCCCAGCATGTCACAGGCCCAATATCTACACTCTGAGCCTTTTGGTTAATGAGAAGAAGTTGTTTAAAGATTTTAACATATTTGACCCCTGTGACCTTGAAAGTGGGTTGAGGTCATTCATTTAAATAAACTTGGTAGCCTTTCCTCCCAGCATGCTACAGACCCAATATCGGCACTCATAGACTTTTGCTTATTGAGATGAAGTCCTTTGTATATTTTAACATATTTGACCCCTGTGACCTTGAAAGTGGGCCAAGGTCATTCATTTGAACAAACTTTGTAGGGCTCCATGCCAGCATGTTATGGGCCAAGTATTAGCCCCCTAGGCCTTCTAGTATTTGAGAAGAAGTTATTTAAAGATTTTGACATATTTGACCCATGCGACCTTGAAAGTTGTTCAAGGTCATTCATTTAAATAAACTTGGTAGCCTTTCCTCCCAGCATGCTACAGACCCAATATCGGCACTCATAGACTTTTGCTTATTGAGATGAAGTCCTTTGTATATTTTAACATATTTGACCCCTGTGACCTTGAAAGTGGGCCAAGGTCATTCATTTGAACAAACTTTGTAGGGCTCCATGCCAGCATGCTATGGGCCAAGTATTAGCCCCCTAGGCCTTCTAGTATTTGAGAAGAAGTTATTTAAAGATTTTGACATATTTGACCCCTGTGACCTTGAAAGTTGTTCAAGGTCATTCATTTAAACAAACTTGATAGCCCTTCATCCCAGCATGCCACAGGCACAATATCAGCAATCTGAGCCTTTTGGTTATTGAGAAGAAGTTGTTTAAAGATTTTAACATATTTGACCCCTGTGACCTTTAAAGTGGTCAAGGTCATTCATTTGAACAAACTTGGTAGTCCTTCATCCCAGCATGTCACAGGCCCAATATCTACACTCTGAGCCTTTTGGTTAATGAGAAGAAGTTGTTTAAAGATTTTAACATATTTGACCCCTGTGACCTTGAAAGTGGGTTGAGGTCATTCATTTGAACAAACTTGGTAGTCCTTCATCCCAGCATGTCACAGGCCCAATAAGTTGTTTAAAGATTTTAACATATTTGACCCCTGTGACCTTTAAAGTGGGTCAAGGTCATTCATTTGAACAAACTTGGTAGTCCTTCATCCCAGCATGTCACAGGCCCAATATCTACACTCTGAGCCTTTTGGTTAATGAGAAGAAGTTGTTTAAAGATTTTAACATATTTGACCCATGTGACCTTTAAAGTGGGTCAAGGTCATTCATTTGAACATACTTGGTAGAGCTCCATGCCAGTATCCTCTGTGCCAAGTATTAGCCCCCTAGACCTTCTAGTATTTGAGAAGAAGTCGTTTGAATGAAAAGTTTACGGACGGCGCACGGCAGACGGCGCACGGCAGACGGCGCACGGCGGACGAAGCATGATGACTATAGGTCATCGGACCCTTCGGGTCAGATGACCTAAAAAGCAGTATGATACAATGTGTAGTACTGTAGTGAAGCCACCCTACCTTGTGGATAAGAAGCAGTACTATACAATATGTAAGTTACCCTTACCTTGTAGATAGTGAAGTTGTAAACTTCCCCATTTTTGTCTTCAAACTCCAGACAAAACATTTCTTCTTTCACATTTTCATCTAGATAAAAAATTTAAATGCTCCCAATCAAAAATTGCCATTTACATAACAAATCTACAAAATAATCAGCATTTTGATAGATTGCAGATAAATCATGCCCTTAGACAATCACAGCAGACACGACTAAGGAAGAAAACGACAGAACAGATATGACAGGACATGATCCTGGTGATTCAGACCTTATCAAGAATCTTTGCATCAAAGCTGAGTTGAAACCCACATTTGAATTTGCTCATCAATTACAATCCCAACTAAGCCCTTTTAAAGGAAGGACATTATAAATCTTCAGTTAAATCAACGTAAACATCTGGTCAGTGAAATCAGAACACTTGATTTTGAGATTTTTAAACTTAATAAAATACCTTGGCAAAGAATAAAACGTTAGTTTTATTCAGAATATTGATGAGAAGTACCTTTCTGCTGCCTCATGGGAGGAATGTAGACACTGGCTTCAGGTTTCTTGTGTCTGGACCCAGAATGTTTGGCTGTTTTTGACATTCCCTTCTTTGCTCTAACTTCTTTATCATATGTGTTCCTATTATGTCCATCAGACATATAACAGAAAAGTTCAACAGGAGATCATATAAATATGTATACCAATGATAAAACATACATATAAATATTTGTTAGAGTAACTACAACTTAACAAAATGCTCAGTAGGGTAAATCAATTGGACCTCTTCAACATTGAAAGTGGGTCAAGGTTGCTATACATACAGAGTACATATTACTTGATTGTGATACATACAGGAATCTATTAAATTACTATAAAATTATTAACAGTTTAAAGGGAGGTATCACCATTCTAGAAATCTATTGTTTTATATATGTTTGTACTTAAGTCTGGGTAAATTTCTCGTGACACATCTTAAATTATTGAAGTTTCTCAATTAATTATAAAGTGATGCCATGCTTTTGTAATATACACAGAAGTCAGCACCTATCTCGTCCGCCCCATTTGCCTCCTGCAATTTGCTGTGCATAGCCTACTAGCAAATATAAACCAACCATGTGTCACACTAGCTGAGCATTCACCAACATACAAATCAAAGATTTTCACACTCAACTGTGACCTTAAATGGATGTCAAGATCATTCATTTGAACAAACTTAGAGGTTCTTTATTCCTGAATGCAACTGATTAAACATCATAATCTTGCGTCATTCGGTTATTCAGAAGTGATAGAACGTTTTACAGGATTTGACACATGATAATTTGAAAGTGGGTCTAGGCAGAGACTTATATAACACATAGTCTCTGGTCTAGGTCATCAATTTGACCACAAACTTGAATGTCATTCTTTCGGACTGTCTGGCTCTTGAAGATATTTATCTCTTAGAAATGTTGGTGGTGTGCCAAAAAAAAAAAAAAAAAAGACAACTCGTGTGATGGAAGCAATGTCGGACATGTGTATAAAGGGACGCGAGTAGCAAATGTTGCACCGACGAAATTCAACCAACTCCCCGGAAATTGTATCTTATAACCAAAAAATCGTTTTACCAACTCGCTAAATTCGTCGTCCATTTTTTCGATGTGCAAAACATGATCGTGACCAAGCAAGTGTCAGTTTCTTCACATTTGCTCTATATACGTACAGTCATAGATAGTATAGCCAGATTTGCCGGTGTGCCAGTACCTGATACTCGGCATAGAATGCAAGTGGGCATAAATCAATAGTTATTATATCAAACAGCATTCTACCTGTCAACTTGATTCCTTATGATACTTTTCATGAATCCATGTTTCATATCAATCCTGGAGACTGGTGTTTCAGCCATGATTTATGAAATCCTTAGACAATTGATAGCTTTACCATAAATGTAGATGTGGTATACGTCATCAACTTATGTGTTCATTGATCTTCTGGTCAAAATCATTTAAGCGCTTCAGTGTTGTGTTTCCGAGAGATAAAACGTTTTGATGATAACGATGCAATTGTGTACATATTTGACGTTTTGTGGACGCACATGAAAGTATGGCGGAAAATGAGAGCCGGGAGTTCGCAAATGAGCTCAAAGGTATCTTAAAAAGAAAGCGCGATAGTTCACATCTCGGCAAACTTGATGATGACAACCCAATAAGATCTATTCTGAAGAAGGGAAAATCATCTAAACCAAAGGAATCAAAAGAGGAGTCATTCGACACACGTGGACCGAAAGCCGACCCCCTTCATGAAAGTCCTTCTAAAAAAGGAATATTGAAATCTTCTGTTGTTGTTCCAACACAGCAAGGAAATACTGCTCAAAGAAACATCCTTCAAAAATCTCCAGAAAACACGGATGTCGCTTTAGTGACAGAACAAGCTAAATCCATTACCAGCCCTATCAAAACACCAAGAAGTATATCTCAGCCTCAAGTGAAACAAGAGATTCGAGATGAATTGTATGAAATTGCAGAGGCAGAACTTCTTTCCGAAGAGCAAGAGCTGGCAGAGCAGCGACCACCTTCTCCTCCTCCGCAACCAAAACAAGCCACACCTGATGCTAAGCGTGATACCAATGTGGACCAAGAGCGTGTAAAAGAGGAGCGCCGATCCAGCTCCAGTAAACACAAATCTGGTTCTTCAAAGTCGCATTCATCAAAGAAAGAAAAATCATCAGATAGGAAATCCAAAGCTGATAAAAATCAAGAGCCTAAGCAGCCAGCGAATATTGTAGATGATTTTGATGACGATGATGAAATTGGTAAACAATATGCTTGTCATTTGTGTCAGAAACATAAAACCACATTTGATATTCCGTTTTCATTTGAAGCAGCTGTATTGAGCACAGGTTCTGTACAAGAATGACTATCAATTCTGTCAAAATAAAAAACAGTTTTAAACACGATTCATTACTGGGAAAAGAGACTTTAACAGTCATTTTTGCTCAATAATACTGACATAACATAACATGATGTAACATAAAGGTAATGACATGATATATCCTTGTAAAACAAAGTGCATTTTTAACTACACCAGTTGGTTATACTCCCGGGTCCCTAACAGGGCTATTGCTTTCATCGCTAGCTCAAAATTTATTGATGTGTAATAAAAAATTGAAAAACATTAATCAGTATAAATGTATATCTGAAACAGAAAAGTAGCTATATATTAATTTAAAAGGTTTATTATGATATATAATCATCATTATATATACCATATGTGGTTTTCCTTTTCTTTTAAGAACCTATTCAAGATCCTAAAGTTGACAGAAGTCGTTCCTGTCCCTATCTTGATACTATAAACAGGTAATATATAGTCTAACAAAGAATAATTGTTTGATTATGGGAGCTGAATGTAAACAAACGGGAATGTTCTTTGGGTGTATATTACACTTATCTACTTCAATAGATATGTAATTATTACAGTATTAGCTTTTCAGTGCTTCAGCATAATTGTTCTCTCTTTAAAACATGCAATACCTGTATTGTTTTGTTTCTTAATTTTCACTTCCAAGTAACAAAATTATGAAACCAAAAAAATCTGCAATCTGGGAAAATGTTTAATTCTTCAGCAAAATACAGGTATTACCATAATCAAAATTTTCAGTTGATTCATTATTTCAGGCTTTAAGCCACAATTTTTGACCAAGATCATAATATTAAAACGATAAAGTCACAGTATTAGTGAACTTATTACTAATTCTTGGAATCAAGACTTGACCTTGAGATTTTGTTTTCAATTGTTTTATAATTCAGAAATTTAGAGTTCTAAATGAAATGTTTGTCTTACCATTAGGTCTCTGTTGGATTTTGATTTTGAGAAGCTGTGCTCTGTTTCTTTGTCACACATCAATGTCTATGCCTGTCTTGTATGTGGGAAATACTTCCAAGGTAAGCATTTAAATCCAATAATACAGATGTTCAACTTGTTCAATGCCTGCATACCACAAGGTCCAAATTAGACCTAGCTCTGATTACTTTCAGATTTGGTATAATTGTAGAATAGTGTATCCCTTGTATTGGCATATGATTATCTAAGGGTTTGATGTGAATGTATGCTAGTTAATGCTTACAGGGATTGAACCTCAGGAGGTCATATTGAAGAAAATAATGAAAAAAAATGTTACAAAGTCAAAGTCAGCTTATAATGTGTTATCTTTGTTAAAAACTCTACATTTTAGGCACAATGAAAAATGTATATTCACATTTGGAGAGATACATAACTGATGCTTGCGGTTTAACAGTCAATAAAAGACTGTCATTTTTGTTTATGTGACATATCATTGATATTATTAAAATCTTTTTAACAAAATATAAAGCTTTAACTACATTGTACAGGTGTTGAAAATGAAGAAAGTGCTTTTCAGTGCAAATTACATTTGAGAAGTGGCACAGTTATAGTTTTTCTTCTGCTGGAACCTGTCAAAAAAGCTATACCACTGCCCTATCAAATATCTGGTGTGCTGATGATAAGCAGTTTGGTGTACTTTTACCCCCACTGTGTTGTAATCACTTTGTGCATGCATTTGCCCATCCATGTATGTATCATATGTATAAACTTGTATCATAGCATCAAGTTCTACTCTCAGTCAGGTGAAAACAGTTACAGATTTAAGAGTCGAGCTAACACTGGACAGCTTCTGCAAACTAATCAATAATGATAAGGGTTACAATATGCAGAGGATTGAGGGCATTCATGTCTTTAAGATAGTTTCTAGTTCAGTATTTATAATCATGCTCAAATAAACTATTGTAAACCTTACCTACTCCCCTGTTGTGATTATGAGATCATGGGATCATGAAGTTTACAATTTTGGTAAAGCACCGTAAGACCCTTCATTCCATTAGGAGCATTTTATTCTACTTTATCTGGGTCTTGAAAGGAATAAATGCCTCACCAACAGGGATAATTAGACCAGTTTTTATACATATGCAGATTTTACTGTTTTATTTCAGTCTGTCTCTTTGTGTCTGTCTGTCGCTCTCTTTGTCTGTCAGTCTGTCAGTCTCTTTTTCATTCTCTTGCTGAAATTTGGAAATAAGGCATAAATAAACCATTTTGCCCAATCCCACCCCTAAATAGAGCATTATATTGGAGTTTATTTAAAACTGAACTTTTTTTTTTGTGTGTGTTTTTTTTTCAGTTTACATGATAAAGATATTTAGCAGAGTTAGAACTTGAAATTACATCCAAACATTTTCCATTTCTCCTAAACTTAGCCAGAATAAGCTCTTATAGTATGTATTACTTTCAGAGCAACAATCAAATTTATTTTCTGATGTTTGAGTATTACCAGTTATTTATTCTATATACATTGAATATTCACAATCATCTGAGTATATTTCACTCAATACGATGAGAAATCATGTAGTAATATATTTTTCTGTGTATTTGTCCACCTATTTAAATATCCATGTGTTCATCCCTTAGTTCAAATGAAAAGGCTTAATCATATGATATCTCCTAGTCACACAGTGGTATAAGAATGTGGAAAAACTCAGATTTTTGTGCTTACTCTGTAAAGATTAAAGGATCAAAAGTCGCGAGTGACAATCTTACATGTTAAAATCTGGTGTGTGATTTGGTTCATGTACCATAGTATCAAGACAAGGTTTAAAGGACAATGTGAATAGTAGAGAAATCACAAATGAACTTTTCAGGTGTTCAAAGAGTATGTACATTTATGTGATGGTGGTATATCTAAGGGATTCCCTGCTGAGTTTGGGTTTATTTAGATGAACAATTTTTAAATAAACAGCTTTTTTATTTTTCAGGTCGTGGAAAGATGTCACATGCATACACACACAGTGTACAGGACAGTCATCATGTGTTTCTCAACCTCCTCACTCACAAGTTCTATTGTCTCCCTGACAACTATGAGATCATTGATTCATCTCTTGAAGACATCATTGTGAGTTAACTTTAAAGTCTAGAGAAGGGATGGAATATCTTGATATTTAATCATGTTAATATTTCCTGTGCATAAGTTAATTTTATGAGTACTGATGAAAAGCTGTTTTTAGTATCATATATTGAAATATTCTCATTCACAATATGGCTCCATTGCAAAGAGGCCATCAAAATGCTTTTCCATCATATTTCAGAAAACATCTACATCTCAAATAGAAAGAAAAAGCTTAATCATTTAGATACAGTTTAACCTGTTTATAGTGACCATCCAAAGGATTAACAGAAATTGGTCACTTTAGACAGGGCATTGTTGTAAAGAGTTGTGATCTGATTGTCATCATACTTTTTACCAAAACATTGATATATCAAGTTAATCATTTGGAAAGGGATACATGAATATATAAATAGCTCATGTAATTACCTTAAAACAATCGCTAGACTGCAGAATCCATCGACGTCATCAGCCAGGACCACCTCTCACTGGACGTTTCGACTCCTATCCTGGAACGTCCTCAAGGTGGTGAGTCGACAGTGATTGGCCAAATCACTGCCCGTCGATGGATGGCTTCCAGCTCAAATCTACTCTTCTCCACCAAAGCCAGCTGGACGACTTCTCTGCTGTTGTTGATAGTCGTTGAACAGCTGCCCTTCGGTCTCTTCCCTGGATGCCTAGTGTAGAAAACATCCTCCACATGGACTGTGCAGGGAACCCTCTGCACCCCATCTCTACTGGCAAGACCCACACACTCCATCCTTTTGCTCTCACGTCGTCTGCAAGATCGGCGTACTTCCCTTTCTTCCGCTCATGAGCCTCTTGGCATCGATCCTCCCAGGGGACAGTTAGCTCAATCATTATCATTTTCTTCCCTTGCTGTGACCATAGCAGGATATCTGGACGAAGGTTGGTTTGGACGACATCTGGGAAAACTAGTCTTTGTCCTAAGTCAACCCGCATCTCCCAACTGTTTGCTCCATCTAGTATCCCTCCTTGGTGCACTGCTTTCTTATTGGTTGTCTCTCCAGATCTTACAAAGTTGATGTACGGTTGATGTTTGGTACATTTCCTCTTTTTCTGCCTTTCCTTCTCAAGGGTGTCTGCTAGCTCTCGCAGTACCTTGTTGTGTCTCCATGTATATCTCCCCTGGGTCAGAGCGGTGTTGCACGATGACAATACATGGGCCAGGTTACCCGGTTGGTCACACAGTGGGCAGTTGGGGTTTTCCGTCATCCCCCATCGGTGGAGATTGGTAGGTGTTGGTAGGACATCATACACTGATCGCAGGAGGAACTGGATTCTACATGGTTCCAACTTCCAGATATCTGCCCATGTAAGACGTCTTTCCGTTGTCTCCCATTTGGTCCATGCTCCCTGTGCTCCCATTTCTACAGCTTTAACCTTCCTGATCTCTTCCTCCATCTTCCTGATGTTATCTTGAACCATCTTCCTTCTACCAGCCGTGTCTGCTGTTCCCCACCTTTCCACCCGCATTGACCCTAACCCCTGTTTGCCTATACAGGTAGTCCCAACGATGTCGCTGTGCCTTAGCCTGCTCTCTGCTTCCTGTACCGCACTACTTGCTGACCACTTGCGTCCTGTTCGAGTCTCAATTCCAGCATTCCGGATCTTCTCATCTTTGGAGTCTCTAACAGTCATCACCAGCCTAACCTTTGCCACCTTGAACTCTTCTACCAGTGATGATAATGGGAGTTGTAATTTGCCTGTGGTGCTGTAAAGGCCCACACTGGTGAAACTTGGGGGGACTCCAAGCCAACGTCGTAGACATTTGCTTATTTTCCTTTCCAGGATTTCCACTGTGGTAGTGGTAACCTCGTACAGGGTTAGAGGCCACGTGAGGCGTGGTAGGAGCCCGTGTTGGTACATCCACGATTTGAATTTACCGGGCAGTCCTGATTTGTCAATTCTCCTCAAACCTTCTTCCACCTGGTTCTGCAAACGTTTGATATTCTTGTTGTCGTTCAGGCTAGCATCAAACCACTTTCCTAAACACTTGATTGGATTGTCTACGATTGTTGGGATCTCCTCCTGCTGTATCGAGAGCTTGAACTTTCTGGTCACTTTCCCTTTCTTTATCACAACACATCGAGATTTCCTTGGTTTAAACTTCATCCTTGCCCATCCAACTGTTTCCTCGAGTGCTGACAGGATCCATCGCGCCTGCACGTGGGTGGTAGTTGTTATGGTCAGGTCGTCCATGAACCCTCTGTTTGGTGGTACTCGCACTCCTGATGAAGTCTTGGGTCCTCTAGTCTCCCGGTCTGCCGCCTTGATGATCAGGTTCATCCCCATCACAAAGAGTATGACCGATATAGTGCATCCTGTTACAATACCCTTCTCAAGTGCCTGCCAAGATGTTGTTATCTCCCTGACCGTGAATCGGAGCCTGATGTTGCTGAAGTAGCTCTTCACGATCTTCTGGATGTGATCCGGGATGTGGTAATGTTCCAGCGCCTTGAAAATCAACTGGTGGGGGACAGAACCGTATGCATTGGCCAGGTCTAACCAAACAACTGTCAAGTCTCCTTGATTGATCTTGGCTTCCCGAATTAGCTGTGTGATTGCGCTGGTGTGTTCAATACATCCAGGGAATCCTGGAATTCCTCCTTTCTGCACAGAAGAATCGATGTACTCATTCGATGTCATGTACTTCGTCATCCTCCTGGCAAGTATGGCAAAGAAGATTTTCCCTTCTACACTCAAGAGTGATATGGTTCTGAACTGGTTCATGGTCGCAGAGTTCTTCTCCTTCGGTACAAATATCCCTTCTGCCGTCTGCCAGCATTCCGGAATTTGCCCTTTCCTCCAAATCACCCTCAGAATCCTCCAGAGCCGTTTCAGAAGTTTTGGGCACATCTTGTATACTTTGTAAGGTATACCACTCGGTCCAGGTGCTGATCCTGATCTTGCTTTCTTCACAACTTCAAAAACCTCCTTCCAGGTTGGTTCTTTCTCGTCTAACTGGAATGTAGGCTCATCCTCCAATGGTATTCTCTCACACTCTCCAAGAGGCTTGTTCTTACCAGCATCAGAGTGTGTCTCCCTCAGATGTTGTTCTATCTCTTCCTTCGAGGCCTGTAATCTGCCAGATCTCTCTCCCCCCAAAAGTGAGGATGTAAACTTGTAGGGGTTGGCAATGAACGCTGCCCTTTTCTTTGCTGTAACCCTTCTGCTCTCCCTTGATTTTTCAGCCTTCTGTAGTGTTGTTAGCTTTGTTCTGATGTCATCTCTTAGCTGCTGCAGTCCGTATCTTTCAAGCTCACTCGCTTTCCTGTACTGTTTCCTCAATACCTTTAACTCCTTCCGGAGTTTTGCCACTTCCTGTTGTCTCCTACTAGGTTGGTGGACCACCTCTGCTCTTTTCCATTCTTGAACACCAAATCTCTCACAGCTGACAGTGTAAACAATGGTCGTAAGTGAAGTGATCTTCTTCTCCACCCCTCCTTGTAGCGTCGCTTCTAATATACCATCTAGGTCTTCATCCAGTTGTTTCCATGACTTTCTGTCGTCCATCTTTGGCCATTTAACCCGCTGCCTTCTCTCTATGTGGATATTGTCTTCCTGAACCCCCTGGTTTGCCTCTCCCTCAGATGAATTCATGGTGTCTTCCTGCGAAGGCACAACAGCGGAGAGGTCCTCAGCACTGTGGTGTGACTCCTGGCTGGGAACCTCCTGCGTCTCATCAGGTTTTCTTCCTGTGCGCTGCCGTTGTGTGTCCTCAGGTCGGCACCTTGCTTTCGCCTGGTGGATCCGCAGTCCATGCAGGTTTTTACAGACCTTCCCACATTTGCATCTAGTTTCATTCTCCTTCCCTCCAGTCAAAGTCCGTTGAACTAGCTTAGTCGTTGCCGTGTTATCTGCCATGTTGAGTCTTTCATCCTCCCCCTCTCGGAAGACTCTGGGGGTGTTGTTCTCCTGTTGTGCTCGTAGCTGGTTGTAGGTTGCGTCCTTGCGGAAGCTGTGGATTGGGATGCTACCCCTCTCCACCCTGGTACTAGTCTGTTCCTAGTCGTCATCTGTCTTTCCAGTGTCACCATTCTATTCTTGGTTGTCATCCAGTCTTTCCTGGAAGTCACTGGATGCTCCAGTTGTACATGTAATTACCTTAAAACAATCGCTAGACTGCAGAATCCATCGACGTCATCAGCCAGGACCACCTCTCACTGGACGTTTCGACTCCTATCCTGGAACGTCCTCAAGGTGGTGAGTCGACAGTGATTGGCCAAATCACTGCTGTCGATGGATGGCTTCCAGCTCAAATCTACTCTTCTCCACCAAAGCCAGCTTTAAAATTTGATGAGATTATTTTGAAACTTTTACAGTCAGATTTTAAAATGTGGTAACAGACCACAACTTTTTGAGTTACCACTTTTTTAGTGACAAGCTTTTGAGTGATGTCAACTTCCATTTCAGTATGTGTTGAATCCAACATTTACAATTGATCACATTAAGAAGCTGGACTTCACAAACAAATTATCTCGCGCTTATGATGGGACAACATACAACCCAGGTATGTTTATAGTTTACAGTTATTTCAGTTATTGAAATCTTAACTTCTGACAACATGAATGGCAGAACAATCTGTATATCAAGAGAGACAAGCAGATGTAAAAACTATTCCTACTGAGTGCCTCTACAGGAACAGAATCTGGGACTTCAACATGATAATCCATGGTATTACTAATTGATTCTAGGAACCTTGCTGTGTTAGCTGAATGATCCTGTTACAAAACTTTACAAAACTATTTTCAATATTTGGTGAAAAAGAGAGAAACGGGGAGGACTCATGCTACCAACATATATTAGGCTGTAGGGGAAGACAGAGGGGAGCAGTAAGGATTCACATTACCAATCTATACTAGGCTGTAGGTGACAACAGAGGGGAGAAATAAGGGCTCACATTACCAATCTATACTAGGCTGTAGGTGACAACAGAGGGGAGCAATAAGGGCTTACATTACCAATCTATACTAGGCTGTAGGGGAAGACAGAGGGAAGCAGTAAGGGCTCACATTACCAATCTATACTGGGCTGTAGGGGAAGACAGAGGGGAGCAGTAAGGGCTCACATTACCAATCTATACTTGGCTGTAGGTGATGACAGAGTGGAGCAGTAAGGACTCACATTACAAATCTGTACTAGGCTGTAGGGGAAGACAGAAGGCAGGGGAGGGCCCACATTACCAATCTATACTAGGCTGTAGGTAGGTGACGACAGTGTGGAGCAGTTAGGGCTCACATTACCAGTCTATACTGGGCTACTTGGCTGCAGGTGATGACAGAGTGGAGCAGTAAGGACTCACATTACAAATCTATACTAGGTTGTAGGGGAAGACAGAAGGCAGGGGAGGGCCCACATTACCAATCTATACTAGGCTGTAGGTGACAACAGAGTGGAGCAGTAAGGGCTCACATTACCAATTTATACTGGGTTGTAGATGAAGACAGAGTGGAGCAGTAAGGGCTCACATTACCAATCTATACTGGGCTGTAGGTGACGACAGATTGGAGCAGTAAGGGCTCACATTACCAATCTATACTGGGTTGTAGATGAAGACAGAGGGGGAGCAGTAAGGGCTTACATTACCAATCTACACTAGGCTGTAGGTGACAACAGAGGGGAGAAATAAGGGCTCACATTACCAATCTATACTAGGCTGTAGGTGACAACAGAGTGGAGCAGTAAGGGCTCACATTACCAATTTATACTGGGTTGTAGATGAAGACAGAGTGGAGCAGTAAGGGCTCACATTACCAATCTATACTGGGCTGTAGGTGACGACAGATTGGAGCAGTAAGGGCTCACATTACCAATCTATACTGGGTTGTAGATGAAGACAGAGGGGGAGCAGTAAGGGCTTACATTACCAATCTACACTAGGCTGTAGGTGACAACAGAGGGGAGAAATAAGGGCTCACATTACCAATCTATACTAGGCTGTAGGTAGGTGACGACAGAGTGGAGCAGTAAGGGATCACATTACCAATCTATACTGGGCTGTAGATGAAGACAGAGGGGGGCAGTAAGGGCTCACATTACCAATCTATACTAGGCTGTAGGTGACACCAGAGGGGAGAAATAAGGGCTCACATTACCAATCTATACTAGGCTGTAGGTAGGTGACGACAGAGTGGAGCAGTTAGGGCTCACATTACCAATCTATAATAGGCTGTAGGTAGGTGACGACAGATTGGAGCAGTATGGGCTCACATTACCAATCTATACTGGGCTGTAGATGAAGACAGAGGGGAGCAGTAAGGGCTCACATTACCAATCTATACTAGGCTGTAGGTGACAACAGAGGGGAGAAATAAGGGCTCACATTACCAATCTATACTAGGCTGTAGGTGACGACAGAGGGGAGCAATAAGGGCTTACATTACCAATCTATACTAGGCTGTAGGTAGGTGAAGACAGATTGGAGCAGTAAGGACTCACATTACCAATCTATACTAGGCTGTAGGGGAAGACAGAGGGGAGCAATAAGGGCTCACATTACCAATCTATACTAGGCTGTAGGTGACGACAGAGGGGAGCAATAAGGACTCACATTACCAATCTATACTAGGCTGTAGGTGACGACAGAGGGGAGCAATAAGGACTCACATTACCAATCTATACTAGGCTGTAGGTGACGACAGAGGGGAGCAATAAGGACTCACATTACCAATCTATACTAGGCTGTAGGTGACGACAGTGGGGAGCAATAAGGGCCCACATTACCAATCTATACTAGGCTGTAGGTGACGACAGAGGGGAGCAATAAGGGCCCACATTACCAATCTATACTAGGCTCTAGGGGAAGACAGAAGGCAGGGGAGGGCCCACATTTTTTACATGTACTAGGCTTAAGCAGCCTTTATTGGAAGAACATGAAGATGAAAGAATATTATTCCTGTTCAACTCTTCACAAACAACACCTTATTTTGGACATGTAAATTAGTGTTTTTGGGGCACTGCTTGTACAGTCAGTGATTCTTCAATAACATCCAAAGTGTATACCAAATTAGTCATTTCGATGAATATTTTACATGCCAAAAGTGACAAGTATGGGTTACCTTTACTATCAATCATTAATCAGACAGGTCTTCAAATTTCACAAGATTTGTCCATTTCTGAGAAAATTTAGAGAAAATCTGCTCTTTAAAATCTCTTAAGCTGTTCCTCTGTGTGCATTTAAGGTCAGCTCTAATTTTGTGTTTGTTTACTTCTTGTACATTGTAGATCAGCTGTAATTTTGTGTTTGTTTACTTCTTGTAAATTGTAGATCAGCTGTAATTTTGTGTTTGTTTACTTCTTGTAAATTGTAGATCAGCTGTAATTTTGTGTTTGTTTTTGTGCATTGTGGGTATACTGATGTCATTTTAAGTTAGACACGAATTCAGCTTTAATGTAAAAATTATTATATTAACATGCAAATGTACCTGTTTTTGATCATCTGCAGTATTAATAGTGTAATATAATGTATAGTATGCATGTGTTAGTAGCGATACATATAATGTGAAATTTCCAACTCTTTTGTAGGTATTGTTGGACTGAACAACATCAAAGCCAATGATTACTGCAATGTCATTTTACAAGTAAGTATGATGTCCTCGGTTCCTTAAACTATAGTACAGTGAATTAAATGTCACAGATCATTCAGCAAACTGTATGTCATAGCAGTTTCTAGTTAGGTTTAAATTTGAGAACAGGATTACAGACAGATTTTAATTTTTGGTGTGGTATCATACAAGACCAATGGAATGACTTTATGTCTAGAGTAGAAAGTTTTCCTCAGAAGTACGGAAAGTGTTGCTTTATTGACATAGGCGTAACAACATGTTACATCATGATAATCCTGCATCATGGCTTTCTACTGTTACCTCAGTATCATGTATTCTATTAATTTTGTGTAAAAGTGAAATGTTTTCTGTGTAGAGGTAATCTATGGCATTCAAAAGAAAACATTAGAATAGTATACATGGAAATACTAGTGAAATCATTCCAAAATTTCCATGGGACTAGAGAAAAGAAGTCTTGATGTATCAATTGTAATTCTATAGACTGATGGTATAACCATGTTAGATAGATTTGTGGGCTAGGCAGATCAGAGAGACTGATGGTATAGCCATGTTAGATAGATTTGTGGGCTAGTCAGATCAGAGAGACTGATGGTATAGCCATGTTAGATAGATTTGTGGGCTAGTCAGATCAGAGAGACTGATGGTATAGCCATGTTGGATAGATTTGTGGGCTAGTCAGATCAGAGAGACTGATGGTATAGCCATGTTAGATAGATTTGTGGGCTAGGCAGATCAGAGAGACTGATGGTATAGCCATGTTAGATAGATTTGTGGGCTAGTCAGATCAGAGATACTGATGGGATAGCCATGTTGGATAGATTTGTGGGCTAGGCAGATCAGAGAGACTGATGGGATAGCCATGTTAGATAGATTTGTGGGCTAGTCAGATCAGAGAGACTGATGGTATAGCCATGTTAGATAGATTTGTGGGCTAGTCAGATCAGAGAGACTGATGGTATAGCCATGTTAGATAGATTTGTGGGCTAGTCAGATCAGAGAGACTGATGGTATAGCCATGTTGGATAGATTTGTGGGCTAGTCAGATCAGAGAGACTGATGGGATAGCCATGTTGGATAGATTTGTGGGCTAGTCAGATCAGAGAGACTGATGGTATAGCCATGTTAGATAGATTTGTGGGCTAGTCAGATCAGAGAGACTGATGGGATAGCCATGTTGGATAGATTTGTGGGCTAGGCAGATCAGAGAGACTGATGGTATAGCCATGTTAGATAGATTTGTGGGCTAGGCAGATCAGAGAGACTGATGGTATAGCCATGTTAGATAGATTTGTGGGCTAGTCAGATCAGAGAGACTGATGGTATAACCATGTTAGATAGATTTGTGGACTAGGCAGATCAGAGAGACTGATGGTATAACCATGTTAGATAGATTTGTGGGCTAGGCAGATCAGAGAGACTGATGGTATAACCATGTTAGATAGATTTGTGGACTAGGCAGATCAGAGAGACTGATGGTATAGCCATGTTGGATAGATTTGTGGGCTAGTCAGATCAGAGAGACTGATGGTATAGCCATGTTAGATAGATTTGTGGGCTAGGCAGATCAGAGAGACTGATGGTATAGCCATGTTAGATAGATTTGTGGGCTAGTCAGATCAGAGAGACTGATGGTATAGCCATGTTAGATAGATTTGTGGGCTAGAGAGACTGAGATAGCAGAGAGTGGACTGATGAGAGACTGATAGCCATGTTAGATAGATTTGTGGGCTAGGCAGATCAGAGAGACTGATGGGATAGCCATGTTGGATAGATTTGTGGGCTAGTCAGATCAGAGAGACTGATGGTATAGCCATGTTAGATAGATTTGTGGGCTAGTCAGATCAGAGAGACTGATGGTATAGCCATGTTAGATAGATTTGTGGGCTAGGCAGATCAGAGAGACTGATGGTATAGCCATGTTAGATAGATTTGTGGGCTAGTCAGATCAGAGAGACTGATGGTATAGCCATGTTAGATAGATTTGTGGGCTAGTCAGATCAGAGAGACTGATGGTATAACCATGTTAGATAGATTTGTGGGCTAGTCAGATCAGAGAGACTGATGGTATAGCCATGTTAGATAGATTTGTGGACTAGTCAGATCAGAGAGACTGATGGTATAACCATGTTAGATAGATTTGTGGGCTAGTCAGATCAGAGAGACTGATGGTATAGCCATGTTAGATAGATTTGTGGGCTAGTCAGATCAGAGAGACTGATGGGATAGCCATGTTAGATAGATTTGTGGGCTAGTCAGATCAGAGAGACTGATGGTATAGCCATGTTAGATAGATTTGTGGACTAGGCAGATCAGAGATACTGATGGGATAGCCATGTTGGATAGATTTGTGGGCTAGTCAGATCAGAGAGACTGATGGGATAGCCATGTTAGATAGATTTGTGGGCTAGTCAGATCAGAGAGACTGATGGGATAGACTCTGAAATAGACTTCCAGGATGAACTGGTTGAGAAGACTGGAAAGTTTTATTGTTGTATTGTTTTCATCTCCAGGCACTATCCCACGTGTCTCCACTAAGGAACTACTTCCTTCAGGAACAGAACTATAAAAAGATCAAGCGACCTCCTGGGGACCAAATGTTTCTGATTGTTCAACGGTTCGGTGAACTTATCAGGAAACTGTGGAATCCACGGAACTTCAAGGCTCATGTCAGTCCTCACGAAATGTTGCAGTCTGTGGTCTTGTGTAGCAAGAAGAAGTTTCAGATCACAGAACAAGGTACAAAATAAACACCATCTGTATGGTATATACATAGTGGTATATATAACCTGTTATAAATATCCTTACACAGTATATATAACCTGCTATAAATATCCCAACACACTATGTTTATATAACCTGTTATAATATCCTTACACACTATGTATATATAACCTGCTATAAATATCCAAACACACTATTTATATATAACCTGTTATAAATATCCTTAACACTATTTATATATAACCTGTTATAAATATCCTTACACACTATGTATATATCACCTGCTATAAATAACCTAACACACTATTTACATATAACCTGCTATAAATATCCTTACACACTATGTATATATAACCTGCTATAAATAACCTAACACACTATGTATATATAACCTGCTATAAATATCTTTACACAGTATATATAACCTGTTATAAATAACCTAACACACTATTTACATATAACCTGCTATAAATATCCTTACACACTATGTATATATAACCTGCTATAAATAACCTAACACACTATGTATATATAACCTGCTATAAATATCCTAACACACTATGTATATATAACCTGCTATAAATATCCTTACACAGTATATATAACCTGTTATAAATATCCTAACACACTATGTATATATAACCTGCTATAAATATCCTTACACAGTATATATAACCTGCTATAAATATCCTAACACACTATGTATATATAACCTGCTATAAATATCCTTACACAGTATATATAACCTGCTATAAATATCCTTACACAGTATATATAACCTGTTATAAATATCCTAACACACTATGTATATATAACCTGCTATAAATATCCTTACACAGTATATATAACCTGCTATAAATATCCTAACATACTATGTATATATAACCTGTTATAAATATCCTAACACACTATGTATATATATAACCTGCTCTAAATATCCAAACACACTATGTATATATAACCTGCTATAAATATCTTAACACACTATTTGTATATATAACCTGCTATAAATATCTTAACACACTATTTGTATATATAACCTGCTATAAATATTCTAACACACTATGTTTAAATAACCTGCTATAATATCCTAACACACTATTTATATATAACCTGCTATAAATATCCTAACACAATATGTATATATAACCTGCTTTAGATATCCTAACACACTATGTATATATATAACCTGCTCTAAATATCCTAACACAATATGTATATATAACTTGCTATAAATATCTTAACACACTATTTGTATATATAACCTGCTATAAATATCCTAACACACTATGTATATATAACCTGCTATAAATATCTTAACACACTATTTATATATAACCTGCTATAAATATCCTAACACACTATGTTTATATAACCTGCTATAAATGTACTAATCTATGTTTGTTTTATGTATATAACAGGTGACTCACTGGATTTTATGTCCTGGTTCCTGAATGCTTTACATCAGGCGCTGAACGGCACAAGGAAGCTTAGCAGTAGTATTGTTAACAAGACTTTCCGAGGCAAGATGAGAGTGTACACACGCAAAGTGTTGCCTGTGGAATTGGTATGTTGAAGTGAAGAAATTAAGGGCTATTCCAGTATCCCACTCAGGAATCCAGATTTTGTTTAGGGCTACCATCCATAGCATTTAATTTATCATATGCTTAGAAGTAATAGGTTGTAAACTAGACCATAGATAGAAGTGAGTTATTTTGGAATCTAAGGATTAAATAGATGTTTTACTGGAATAGTCACCTGTGTAACAGAGCAGATATTTGTCACACCTTTCTATTGTTATGTCTATTACTATAGTTCTATGTCCTATAATTCTGTAATGAACCACACTTTGTTGTTCCTATTTATTCAGAAGAGAGATTACTTGGTTGGATTTGATATCAATCCAGTATTTTGTTGTTATGCCCCAGTCATTTCATGGTTGGGACATATAGTGTTACCTTTACCTGTCATTCCACATTCCAGTATGATATTATTTCTGCTCATTTACTCATTCAAAGATACAGATATATATCACTGTAATTTGGTCTATAATTGTATAATGATATGCAGATGATTTCTGATGTGGTTTTGGTCAATTTCAGAGTTTGGATTATTCAATTTAAAGAATTTAAATTAAAGTTTAATATAAAAAAATTGGCAAGATCAATATTAGAGAGACTTGCCGAACTCCAGTCAGAATCTAAAAAAGAAGTCTGCAGGTAGAACTTTAATTTCAATTAATTTTCCATAGATTCTGTGGACAGAACTTTTATTTCAGATAGTTTTACATAGATTCTGTGGACAGAACTTTTATTTCAGATAATTTTACACAGATTTTGTGGACAGAACTACGAGTCACGAATAAACCTCTAAACAAAACTAATAACACAAAAAAAACTTTTCAAACATATCTGTGATTGTCAGCCGGGCTTTATATCTCTCCAACACATCTACTATATAGTATACAGTATTAGTATTCCCCAGAAAAACTCTTCAAGAAAAGGATCATTTACTGCTGTTAGCCATGGTTAGAAAAGAAAATAGAAATTAGATCTACAGAGATTTTAAACCCAGTGTGATGACATGTCACTCCTACCTCCAGACTTGTTATGATATGTATCATGGGATTGTATTTTGTTGATAAACCAATATATTCTGTCTGTAATTTACTACACAGTAGAATGTGCAGTAATATTCAACTCACAGAGATTTATGTAACATTTAGTATATTTTTCAGCAACAATAAGTTTGTTTTGTATATTAATAGAAAGACGAGGAAAAAGAAAAACTACTTCAGACAGACGAGTATACAGGTAATTCTGATTTTATTCTTCCTTGATAATACAATGTACATGTAGAAATATTTTGTGTATTTGTCGAGAGAGAAATAGAAAATCAAGATTTATAGATAGAAATATGGCCGAATAATCATTCGGACATTCTACTTAACATGGTGCCTAAAGACAAAGTACTAAGGTAATGTTGTAGTTCCTGTGTACATGTGGTGTAGACACAGAACTTGGGTAATGTTGTAGTTCCTGTGTACATGTGGTGTAGACACAGTACTAAGGTAGTGTTGTAGTTCCTGTGTACATGTGGTGTAGGCACATTACTAAGGTAATGTTGTATTTCCTGTGTACATGTGGTGTAGACACGGAACTTGGGTAATGTTGTAGTTCCTGTGTACATGTGGTGTAGACATGGTACTAAGGTAATGTTGTAGTTCCTGTGTACATGTGGTGTAGACACAGTACTAAGGTAGTGTTGTAGTTCCTGTGTACATGTGGTGTAGACATGGTACTAAGGTAATGTTGTAGTTCCTGTGTACATGTGGTGTAGGCACATTACTAAGGTAATGTTGTATTTCCTGTGTACATGTGGTGTAGACACGGAACTTGGGTAATGTTGTAGTTCCTGTGTACATGTGGTGTAGACACAGTACTAAGGTAATGTTGTAGTTCCTGTGTACATGTGGTGTAGACACAGTACTAATGTAATGTTGTAGTTCCTGTGTACATGTGGTGTAGACATGGTACTAAGGTAATGTTGTAGTTCCTGTGTACATGTGGTGTAGACACAGTACTAAGGTAGTGTTGTAGTTCCTGTGTACATGTGGTGTAGACATGGTACTAAGGTAGTGTTGTAGTTCCTGTGTACATGTGGTGTAGACACGGTACTAAGGTAATGTTGTAGTTCCTGTGTACATGTGGTGTAGACACAGTACTAACGTAATGTTGTAGTTCCTGTGTACATGTGGTGTAGACATGGTACTAAGGTAGTGTTGTAGTTCCTGTGTACATGTGGTGTAGACACAGTACTAAGGTAGTGTTGTAGTTCCTGTGTACATGTGGTGTAGACATGGTACTAAGGTAGTGTTGTAGTTCCTGTGTACATGTGGTGTAGACACAGTACTAAGGTAATGTTGTAGTTCCTGTGTACATGTGGTGTAGACACAGTACTAAAGTCATGTTGTAGTTCCTGTGTACATGTGGTGTAGACACAGTACTAAAGTCATGTTGTAGTTATGTGTACATGTGGTGTAGACATGGTACTAAGGTAGTGTTGTAGTTCCTGTGTACATGTGGTGTAGACACAGTACTAAGGTAATGTTGTAGTTCCTGTGTACATGTGGTGTAGACACAGTACTAAAGTCATGTTGTAGTTATGTGTACATGTGGTGTAGACATGGTACTAAGGTAGTGTTGTAGTTCCTGTGTACATGTGGTGTAGACACGGTACTAAGGTAATGTTGTAGTTCCTGTGTACATGTGGTGTAGACACGGTACTAAGGTAATGTTGTAGTTCCTGTGTACATGTGGTGTAGACATGGTACTAAGGTAGTGTTGTAGTTCCTGTGTACATGTGGTGTAGACACAGTACTAAAGTCATGTTGTAGTTCCTGTGTACATGTGGTGTAGACACAGTACTAAGGTAATGTTGTAGTTCCTGTGTACATGTGGTGTAGACACAGTACTAACGTAATGTTGTAGTTCCTGTGTACATGTGGTGTAGACACAGTACTAAAGTCATGTTGTAGTTCCTGTGTACATGTGGTGTAGACATGGTACTAAGGTAGTGTTGTAGTTCCTGTGTACATGTGGTGTAGACATGGTACTAAGGTAGTGTTGTAGTTCCTGTGTACATGTGGTGTAGACATGGTACTAAGGTAGTGTTGTAGTTCCTGTGTACATGTGGTGTAGACATGGTACTAAGGTAGTGTTGTAGTTCCTGTGTACATGTGGTGTAGACATGGTACTAAGGTAGTGTTGTAGTTCCTGTGTACATGTGGTGTAGACATGATACTAAGGTAATTGTAGTTCCTGTGTACATGTTGCCTGCTTTATATGCAGAAAAGTATGAGGAGATCCCTTGGCTGTATTTGACCTGTGACCTTCCACCTCCACCACTGTACCCTGATGAGTTACGAGAGAACATCATTCCACAGGTGCCATTCTCCACCATCCTTGCCAAATTTAATGGGATATCTGAGAAGGAGTACAAGACACATAAAGACTCCCACATGAAGAGGTTTGAGCTGACCCGTCTCCCACCCTACATCATCTGTTATATAAAGGTATTTACATGGCTATGTTGTAACACCTCTCCACATGATGACAAGTTTAAGTATTACATATGCTCCTGTCCTGATATTTTAAGAATGTCCACATTGTTGCAGTCAAATAATCTAAAATGAAAAAGTAAAGTTTATCTACTCAGCAGGTCTGTATTTATTCCTTAACAAACAACCATGTTTCATGTTGAAGATGGAGCCTTTGTTATTTTCGATCTAGTGTGACAATGATCTCTGAGATTGTCAAAGTTTTATACTATTGCTTTTCTGCAAGTGTTACTGATGTAGACTGACTTTGTGCAATGAGGCTAAAAAAAGGTAAAAATGCCACACTAATATCTTTTCCTATGTATTTTCATGGGTTGGCATTGGATAATAATTTTATGATCTAAGATTATGATTGTATTGATAACAAACTATAAAGATGTGACATTTAGCAATTGTACTTAACAATCTTACAGAGATTCACGAAAAATTATTTCATTCAAGAAAAGAACAGAACAATTGTCAACTTTCCTATCAAGTAAGTATATTTCTAAAGAACTTTTAAAACCATTTAAGTACTGAAAGCTGATCCTAATGAAAGCTGTAATGTTAATAATAAGATCACTTGTATAGTAATCCTGGTGTCCGACATACAGTTTGTCCGTCAGCACTTTTGTTTCCGTGCGTTAGCTTGAGTTTCCTTGGGCCGATAAAGCTCAAACTTCATACAGTGCTTCCTTATTAAAAGTGCTGGCATGGGATTGCTTTTCAGCTGTAAAGGTCAAAGGTCAGGGTTGGTTTATTTAAAAGTCAAATAAGTATTTGTGGCAATGTTTGGTGAGGGGGTATACTTGTCACTCCCTCGATGACAGCTCTAGTTATATTTTCCTGGTGCATTAGAAGTCAGAAAAGAAAGAGCATACTATTCTAATTATTGTTGTTATTTTACTGGAATTCTTTGAATTATGAATTTTATTATGATATGATCTGCTGATTAGCTAATATACGATACAATACTCCATTTTTTGTAGAAACATTGACTTTGGTGACCTTTTAGCTCCCGAGATCCGAGCTCAACACAAGAACACAACATATGACCTTATGGCTAACATTGTCCATGATGGGGAGCCAAAGTCAGGGAAAGGCACCTACAGAGTTCATGTTATCCATAAGGTGGGTCATTGTTTTATAAATTATGAAGGTGATTATCCTAATTCTCTATGACACTGTAAGTGGTGACCGTCCTATTTCTCTATGATATACTATGGTGACCATCTCGATTATCTGTCATAAATTACAAAGTGACTATCCTACCGTTACTTTTATTCCAGGGTCTGGGTAAATGGTATGAGATGCAAGATCTCCATGTGACAGATATCTTACCTCAGATGATTCCACTCTCTGAGAGTTACATACAGGTGAGTCAACCTTTAAGTCTATGGATTACAGAAACAGAAGTTTCCCTCAGTAACAATGAAAGTCATATGTTGCGAGTGAAATTATATACATTATATATGCAGGCATGATAAATACAGTCTTTCCCAAAATCCTGTGTGAATATTATTCTTAGGACATCAAAATTATCAAATGATACAAGATATATATTCAAATATTTGAATATCTTGAGAGAAATTTCAGGTTATCTGACCCTCTGTCAGCTCCTGCAGTGTGCTGTCGATAAACTTTTCCTTTAAAATGCTACTTCTCCTAATACTTGAGTGGATTTCAACCAAATTTGGTCTGAAACATCCTTAAAGGTGGGCAATCATTTCTTAAAGTCAGATATTTGATTTGACCACTGATGACTGGAAGTTGGAGCCCTAAATGTGAATTTAGGAAAAATTTGGCTTTGAAAACTTATTCTACCTTTACATCAGCCTATGTCAACAAATTTGACCAGAAAAGGTGTGGGCAATTATTTATTTAATTCAGCAAGTTGTTTCGACATCTGGGGACTGTGGGACAGTTGTCTGGATGGGAAATTTGGTTAAAATTTTGTTCCAAAACCCTTCTTTTTTTTAATGCCTCAGGAAATTTCAACCAGATTTGGTCTGAAACATCACTGATGTAGGCTATCATTTCTTAAATTCAGAGAGATGCATTGACCCTTTGGGTCTAAATTTTGTTTTTAAACTCTAATCATCCTTTCTTTAATGCCTTAGCATATTTCAACCCAATACATCTGAATCATATCTTTGGGAGGTCAGTCGTTACTTAAACTCAGAGAGTTGATTCAACCTCTGGGAGGACGAGGGAGAGAAGGGGGATGCTAATGGGAAATTTAGCTGAAACTTTGCCTTCAATACTAGTATTCATACATGCAAAACTGAAATGGCAATAATATCTGAAATGAATGATGTTTGATTATCAGATGACCATTAAGGACCATGGGCCTCTTGTTAAGTCACCCAAAACCCAAACGAACTTTGAAATAATCTATTCTAATGATCTTTTCCTTTTGTCTATTATCATGAGTTGAGTCATCCATCTGCAAACAATTGACACTTTTTTTAGTCTATTCAAATTGCTCTGTATCCATGGTCCGTCCTTAAACAATTTTTTGTTATTGCTATTTCTTGATAACTACAGCAAAGATCTTTCTTAAATTTCTGATGTAGGTTTTCCTTGGTTCATAGTTGTGCCAATTTGATTTTTGGAATGATCAGAAAAAAAAATGGCCGACAGACAGTCATCTTAAATTTTGTCTTTGAAGTTTGTTATAGCTATTTCTTGATAACTACAGCATAGATCTTTCTCAAATTTCTAATGTTGGTTCTCCTTGGTCCCTAGTTGTGCCTGTTTGATTTTGGTGCTGATCAGAAAAAATAAAATGGCCAACAAGCGGACATCTTGGATTTTGACTTTGAAAGTTTGTTATCACTATTTCTTGAGAACTACTCTATAGATCTTTCTTGAATTTCATGTACAGGTTCCTTTAGGTCCCTAGTTGTGCTGTTTGAGTTTTAGACAGATAAGAAAAATGAAATGGCTGACAGGCAGCCATCTTGGATTTTGCCTAGTAAAGATTGTTATTGCTGTTTCTTAAGAAGTACTGAATGGATATATCTTAAATTTCATATGTATGTTCCCTTTGCTCTCTCCTTGTGCTTGTTTGATTTTGGGACTGATCAAAAGAAACAAAATGGCCTCCAGACGGCCAGTTTGGATTTGGCAGGTAAAGGTTATCATCGCTATTTCTGCATAGGAATGTTCAAATGTCTTATCATTAAGAGCAAAAACAGAGAAGAGAAAAGAACAGAAAAGATCCAACATTCAAGAACATATAATTATAAGAAAATTTAAAAAAAAATGGTGGGTACCCAGATCCCTCTGGGATCTCTTGTTATTTCTTGTGAAAAAACATTAAACCAAATTAAATGAAATATTACAGAACAGAACCTCTAATGCCCTCCTCCCCTTCCCCATAGCCCCCAGAGGTTAAATATCTGTAGTATATATCAGAACATTATACTTTTGGGTATGCTTGTTATTTTCTGCAAGACATGATTCAAACCTGTAGGAGTTATTGTCATCAGATAACATTTTGTTTGTACAATATGCTTCAGGAGTGGGCCCAGTTTATTTAAAAAAAAAAAAAAAAAAAGGAAAAGAAAAACAGTTTCTCAGCTGTCTGCCTATAATATATTACTTGTATTTGAAATTCTTTCATGTTAACATTATGATCGTTATGTTAGGTAGCATTAAGGAAAAACATTTGTACACTGTTGTCTAAGTACACTGAGGTACCCTTTCTCTATCATTAAACATCTCTATAAGGTTTAATTTACTTTATCAAATCACTGTTTATGGTAGATTTGATATGTTTGATTTCACCTAGCGATCCGGGGTTCGATTCCCGGAATGGACATGAACAGGGATTGGGATCACCTGTCCAACCATATGGGTTTTCCCCGGGTACTCTGGTTTCCTCCCACATTAAGACCCCTCGCACGCTTCCAAGTGTGCCAATAAGAGTGATTAAGTTGGAAAAACTTGTTTCAAAATTGTTGTAAGATGAATAAATTATTATTTGATATAAAAAGAATATCTGCATTACCTGAATTATAACACCATCATAAGGATGACAATAGTAAATAATTGCTGACTTTTACTCATTAATGAATACCTCAGGGAATGGATTAGGTAGGGATTAAACGGGAAGTATGGATACATTAACGGAGGGCCAACGGAAATGATAACATAAAGGTAGATCACACGTTTCTGTGGAGAGTTTAAGAGTCTCTTTACACATACCCTTGTAAGTAAATGTTTGGTGAGAGTAAATAGCTGGGTGTGACAGGTAGAGAGGAAGAATTGACCTTTGATCTATCAACATTCATCATGTCTTGTAGTACTCGACAGACTTCAGTCAGTAAGGATTTTGTGGTCACGCTTTTATATACATTAGTTTTGCGAAGTAATTTAACAAACGAGTGATGTTATTATACCCCTCAGACCAAGTTCTGTACTGGAGTAACGATATACTGTCTAAATAACTCCAAGTAGTTACCAGATACATTACGTAATTGTTTGATCTCATTCTATGTACAACTTGTTAAATCCTTTTGCATTAAGGAGCCAGTAAGATTTGTGTAACTATACAACATGAGTCCACAATTAATTAACAAGTAGATATTTTTCTACTGTCATTTTTAAAAGATTTATAAATGAAGTAAAAAAAAAGCCATTCCATTTCAGAATCAAATGACTGTATAACAGCAATAAGCTCAGGTGTGACAATAACTCCACCCATATCTGTTCCATATCATTCAATGCTACTTGATTATCCTGTAATAAGCCCACCTTTGAATAAGATGAAATGTGTTGACCCTGTATTTATGTCCTGTAATAAGCCCACCCCCTGACTTTGAGAAATAAGTATTGCATTGGCTCCCTGGGGTCCTGTAATAAGCCCAACCCCAGACTTTGAGGAATAAGTAATGTGTTGGCCACAAGGGTCCTGTAATAAGCCCATCCATTGTCTTTGAGGAATAAGTAATGTGTTGGCCCTCTGGGGTCCTGTAATAAGCCCACCCATTGTCTTTAAGGAATAAGTAATGTGTTGGCCACAAGGGTCCTGTAATAAGCCCATCCATTGTCTTTGAGGAATAAGTAATGTGTTGGCCCTCTGGGGTCCTGTAATAAGCCCACCCATTGTCTTTAAGGAATAAGTAATGTGTTGGCCACAAGGGTCCTGTAATAAGCCCATACATTGTCTTTGAGGAATAAGTAATGTGTTGGCCCTCTGAGGTCCTGTAATAAGCCCAACCCCTGACTTTGAGGAATAAGTAAGGAAAGATTAGATTTTGAGCAAATTTGGTCTGATAAATCCTAGGAAAAACAGAATTAAGTTTTGTATAAACAGTGGGTCTAGGCCCCTCAGGATGGGAGATGCAAGACCCATTCAAGGGAAAGTAAGGCAAATTCTTTATAGTTCATCTTCTGTTGGAATGGTAGGATTCTGTCCTTATTTGGTCTGAAGCATGAACTCTCTAAGGACAAAGGAGTAGGGCTCCTAGGGGAAATAGATATAGTGTTTGTTGTGTGTTTGGATATTCAGAATTCCTTTTCCTTTAGTTTTGATGAAGAAATATTATCAGAACAAAGCCAAGTGAGTGATGCAGGCCCTAAGGGCCTTTGTACATTCACCTGGCCCAAAAGGCCACATGACCTTATGGCATACCTTGGCTGTCCATCCTCTACAGATTGCTACTGAATGGCTGAGGAAATTTTGACCAGTTTTGGTCAGAAGAAACTTTCAAAGAAGGGGAATCAGTTTTGTATAAATGGTTGGTCTCAGTCCCCAAGGGCTTGAGGGGCAAGGCTCAAAAATGGAAATTGCATCTGAAGCATTCTTGGATCAATTTTTGTATAATTGGTGGGTCTTCCTCGGAAGGGAAGGATGTCAGGAGAAATATATTGAATTCTTTAGAATTGTCCTTATTAATAAGGAATTATTGAATTTTGTCCAAATTTGGGTCTAAAGCACCCTAGGATGAAGGGAATTTAATTTTGTTTAAACAATGCATCTGATCCCAAAAGGGCAGAGAAGTGGGGCTTAAAAGGGGAAATAGATGTAATTGTTTTAAATACTTTTTATTTAGTTCAGATGAAGCAATTTAAGGGAACTAATCCAAGTGAGAAATACAGCCCCAATGTTCACTTAACATGTAAGAAGTATTATTATCAAGACAGAAGTAAAAAACTTAATTCTATTTTGTGTTGTCGGTAGCAGTAGATGGGATGAAAATCTATGGTTGATAGGAAGTCCTACTCCTTTGTTTTAGATAATTATATTCCTATTGAAGACCCTTGAGCCCCATATACTAAAGTTTCAGAACATCTAACACAATTTTTTAAAAATTCTTCCAAGGCTGAAATGATTGCATATTATAGTATTTCCTCATAACATGTACCTATGATGTTTTCTTCCTTACCATCTCAGTACCTACCAAACTACCAAATACTATTATCACTATGCATATACAAAATTCTCACTGCTTTTCTTACAGAAGTCCTGAAGGTTTTTTTTATTTTAACATAATGTATTTGACTTCACTAAGCTTTGCTGATCATACTATACTTAAAACATTATAGGAAAAGAAATTACTTATCTGTTGTCTTAAATATATAGAACTTTATTCCAGATATTTGAGCTAAGGAGAGACATCCCAAATCCAACATTTGGTATGGCAGTAGAAGACCAGCCACCCCAGCCTGAGAACTTTGCTTCTATGGAAGTTTAAATGATTGGAAAGACTCGATAGCAGGACATATCTATAACAATGTGTGTAAGAATAGGACGAAAATAAAATGTCAAGCATCATAGAAAGTGGTGAATGTCTTAACTATACCATTGTCCAACAGGTGTTACAGAGAGTGGTAAAACAATACCATCAGGTGTTACAGAGAGTGGTAAAACAATACCATCAGGTGTTACAGACAGTGGTAAACCAATACCATCAGGTGTTACAGAGAGTGGTAAACCAATACCATCAGGTGTTACAGAGAGTGGTAAACCAATACCATCAGGTGTTACAGAGAGTGGTTAAACAATACCATCAGGTGTTACAGACAGTGGTAAACCAATACCATCAGGTGTTACAGAGAGTGGTAAAACATTACCATCAGGTGTTACAGAGAGTGGTAAAACAATACCATCAGGTATTACAGACAGTGGTAAAACAATACCATCAGGTGTTACAGAGATTGGTAAACCAGGAATACCATCAGGTGTTACAGACAGTGGTAAAACAATACCATCAGGTGTTACAGACAGTGGTAAACCAATACCATCAGGTGTTACAGACAGTGGTAAGACAATACCATCAGGTGTTACAGAGAGTGGTAAAACATGAATAATTTCAGGTACATGTTTCACGACGTAGTAAACAGATATCATTGGGTGTTACAGAGGGTATTAAATATACATTAATTTTGAAAGACTACTTGAAGTATCAGAATATGCTCTATTATGTTTATGGTGACAGATTGTTTCTGTGGTAATGTTACATGATAACTTTTCACAACCACCTTCTTGTAACTTGTTAGTGTGGAGAAAATCGATTAGTTAACAGACTTACTATCTTACACACTGCTTTGATAGTTTTAATACATTGTGACATAAAATGTGGAAACTGTTTTAATGAAAAGTAGCCTTAATGATTCATTTCATTGAAGTTACCTTCTTTAACAATCACTTATTAAAGTTATGTTAAAAACATATATTTCATGTTGTTTTCTATTATCTAAGTAATATTTCAATGATTTGTGAACATCTTTTGGGAATCAAGGTAATGAATCACCACTGTTTGATGTATTAAATATAATAATACTCTATGAGATTGAAAAAATGTCAGTAAATATATATATTACAATCACATATGTAGTGCTACAGAGGAAAATATATTATTACAGCCATACATAGGGTAACAATGATATTACAACCATACCTAGGGTAACATAATGATATTACAGCCATACCTAGGGTAACATAATGATATAACAGCCATACCTAGGGTAACCTAATGATATTACAGCCATACCTAGGGTAACATAATGATATTACAGCCATACCTAGGGTAACATAATGATATTACAGCCATACCTAGGGTAACCTAATGATATTACAGCCATACCTAGGGTAACATAATGATATTACAGCCATACCAAGGGTAACATAATGATATTACAGCCATACCTAGGGTAACCTAATGATATTACAGCCATACCTAGGGTAACATAATGATATTACAGCGATACCTAGGGTAACATAATGATATTACAGCCATACTTCGGGTAACAATGATATTACAACCATACCTAGGGTAACATAATGATATTACAGCCATACCTAGGGTAACATAATGATATTACAGCCATACCTAGGGTAACATAATGATATTACAGCCATACCTAGGGTAACCTAATGATATTGCAGCCATACCTAGGGTAACATAATGATATTACAGCCATACCTAGGGTAACATAATGATATTACAGCCATACCTAGGGTAACCTAATGATATTACAGCCATACCTAGGGTAACATAATGATATTACAGCCATACCTAGGGTAACATAATGATATTACAGCCATACCTAGGGTAACCTAATGATATTACAGCCATACCTAGGGTAACATAATGATATTACAGCCATACCTAGGGTAACATAATGATATTACAGCCATACCTAGGGTAACCTAATGATATTACAGCCATACCTAGGGTAACATAATGATATTACAGCCATACCTAGGGTAACATAATGATATTACAGCCATACCTAGGGTAACCTAATGATATTACAGCCATACCTAGGGTAACATAATGATATTACAGCCATACCTCGGGTAACCTAATGATATTACAGCCATACCAAGGGTAACCTAATGATATTACAGCCATACCAAGGGTAACACAATGATATTACAGCCATACCTAGGGTAACAATGATATTACAGCCATACCTAGGGTAACAATGATATTATAGCTATACCTAGGGTAACATTATGATATTACAGCTATATCTAGGGTAACATAACGATATTACAGCTATATCTAGGGTAACATAATGATATTATAGTTTTACCTGGGGTAACAATGATTTTGCAGCAATACCTAGGATAACATGATGTTTTTATAGCCAGACATAGTATAACACTATTATCACAGCCATAAAGAGGGTTACAGCCTTATATAGGTGAACATTTCATCACAACTGTACAACTTAATACCTTTATTGGGTATACAGTAGTATTGTACCTGGTGCCCACCGGTACATTAATTAAGTACATGTGCAGTACTTGATATAAGAGCTATGAATTGATCTTGAGATCAATTGGGGCCTTAATCAGACTTTTTTCTTTCAATCTATGGCCACACTTAGTGAGGCTACAGTTTATCTTACAACTCCCTTATAGATCAGTCAAGCAGTTAATGTAATCACACTTTATAGACACAACAAAAAGGTGCAAACCAGTTCATTTATGTTCTTATAGATTTTCTCTAATTCCTTTAAAGGTGTTGGATAAGTAATTAGATCTTGAGGTGGTATTATCCTAACTTTAAATACTATATATGGGAGTATTTTCATTATTTTACTGGCCATAAAGGTGATTACAAACACTTGATCTGTGAAATGACAAGACACATTGAAATATTATCTGTATTATTACATTGTACAGAATACTTTTAAAGCATAAATCAATATGATTATGATGAACTATATCAGTGTGGGATCAATCAGCCATTATGCATTAGAAATATGACATTGGGAGCAGTATTCATGAAATATAATCTTATGTCTAGATTCCAACATCCATTTAAAATCAGTTTTCAGGTTGTTAATGAAAATCGTGAATAATTTGACAAAAGCTGTAAAGTAGTTTTAAGGAGGGAAGCTGGGGCATATTATGTTTGGGACAATTAGCTGATGAGTGGAATGGTTGGGAACCATTTGGGGTGTGTTGATCAACAGAAATAAAACCTCATTACTGTCCGCATGAGCTGAAATTCAACCTAGATAGATTCCACAGAGGTCATCTCTACTGGCAACAATCTCTGGTGGTCAATTTTATATTGACATCAATACAGGTCATTTTCTGATATACTACAGCTGACATCCATAGAGGCCATCATATACTGATACTACAACTGACATCCATAGAGGCCATCATATACTGATACTACAGCTGACACCCATAGAGGCCATCATATACTGATACTACAGCTGTCACCCATAGAGGCCATCATATACTGATACTACAGCTGACATCCATAGAGGCCATCTTATACTGATACTACAGCTGACATCCATAGAGGCCATCTTATACTGATACTACAGCTGACAGCCATAGAGGCCGTCTCATACTGATACTACAACTGACACCCATAGAGGCCATCTTATACTGATACTACAGCTGTCACCCATAGAGGCCATCATATACTGATACTACAGCTGACACCCATAGAGGCCATCATATACTCTTTCCACAACAACTGATGCCTTTACTTATCATCTGATATCATTTGTAAGTATATGTTTTGTGGAGCATTCTTCTATTTAGATATGGCTTTGCAGTTTTAGGCCGTTTTAATTAACACAAATAATCTTGTTAATCATATGTCAATAGATGTTTAGTGGGTACGCTTCATTCATACTTTACTCATTCTTTTATACATTACACAGAAGGCATTTTAACGGACCTTCTCGAGGACTATTCAGTTTAATTTATGTATTAAGTCAATATGATACTAGCGTGGTTGTCCCAGATGTCGTTGGTCTTTAAGTCAGAAGAATGTTTTGGTATTTAACTGGTTGTGCTGGCTGGCTAGTTACACAATACACATACAATCAGTACCGTTCAAGACCACTAAAGGATATCAGTTTTATCGTAATTACTGCTGGGCTCTGGATTGGTGATAGCCTTGTTCTACACGGATATTGATCAGGAATCAAACATACGTATTTCAATATCTTGACAGTCGTTTAGTATTAAATGGCAACAGTGTTTAATGTAAAGATCAATGCATTTCATTTTGGTTGGCAACTTTTCCGGCTCTTTTTCTTTATTTTACATACTGCGTTTGATTAACACCAGAACATTAAGATCTATTAACTCAACATTTTGTAAAGCGTGGTTTTGAAGTGTAAGTTTTTATGGGTAAGAATTGGATCTGGCCTGTCCCTACTAATATGTAATGAAAGAATGTTCCTAATTTTAGTTTGGTTCGTGTTTCATTTTCACCAGAGACATTTAATGCAGAGACTGTAGACATTGCCAAGTCGAGGCTAATCTCGTGTTAGCTGTGAACTCATCAGAAACCCTTCTCACTGTTATGAAGTCCCATCTGCCTGCCACTCGTTAAACTATTAAAGCCATACAGTTATTGACCTCAGAATTGTTTTCACATTTCATGTTTTAGTGTAAGACAAAGGCTAGTTTTGGTAAGCTGAAAAGGGGATTCATTGAGACAAGTAAAAAGATATTTAAAGAAAAAAAAAGTATATTTATATGTTCGTTGGTTTTTGTAGCCTGTGTGTTAAAGAGTGGTTTTGGCATTTAGGCAGAGTTGGAGGAGGAATTAATGTAGGTAGAAAAGTATGTCTTTTAGTGAATGGAGTAAGGAAGTCCGGTCAGAGGATATTGGGAAGGGAGGGTGGATATTACTTAGGGATGATAGGGACAAGTATCTTTATAAATGATTATTGTGAAATATGTGGACGCATTTCAGTTGATAACAAAAAATTAACAAGTTAATAACGTAAATAAAAATTAAAACATAAACAAACATAATCCTCACAAAATTTGAATTTTGATTGGATAAA